AAAAGTTTCAACTTTCGGAGAGAACTTCTATCATGCTCTTCAAGGTATTTTAGTGCTGCAATGTTGTGTATCTGTGATCTTAGAATTTTTTTCGACTGCTGACGTCAAGTGCAAACCGAGAATACTCTTCAAGGTTTGGGCTCCCTGTGTCAAGTGAGTTGTTTACTTAATACGGTGTAAAAGTTTTCTTTACTTCGCATGATGGCAACTGTTTCAAAACTTTCAAACAATMAATTTTTTACCATGCCCCAKCACTCTGTACGTTACTAGTAAGTAGGCAATATTTTACAATTTGTCAGTGAGAAAAATTCTGTTGCAATTTTTTTTCTTGGAAGCCATTAAAATGTGCTAGTGTTTCTATTTGATTTATTTTTCACATATCGGACTTTTGTTGACGTCATGTGCAAAAGAATATGCTTGCTGTGTCCTTTACATCTGGTAAGTGTTACTTAATCGATTCTAAAAGATTTAGTTCAACAAATTCTAATTAGCATTCTCTTACAAAGTATGCCACCAATCAATAACGTACTCTTTCTGTTGTCACGCAATACATGTATTATGCAGCACGMGGTCACTTAGAGCCATAACGCGATGCCGACTTCGATGAATAGCTACTCTTTCGTCTTGCTCCTACGCTTTTAAATAGTTTTGACATATGGAATCRAATACAGAAGAAAMGTTATTGCTTTCCCAGAAGCGCAAGAGGACTTTGGATCATCAAGGTATGGAGTTTGATCGGATATTCGAGAGGCAGATGAATAGCTTTAAGTCGGCGAAACGACGTCTATCGACTTACWATGCATAAAAATGGAGAAAGGTATTCACAGCGGTCAAGTCAGTTCGCTGACTGTTTAGAGGTCATGTAGAAACAATTCGAGCTAAAGAGAAAGTCGAAATTCGATTCTGAGAATTCAAAGGAAATTATTTTAAAACCACCCAAGTTAAATTTTGACTTGATGTCGCTACTTTGTGAAATAAAGTCGCTTTTGTAATCTGCCGTCCAGCTTTTGATGAATTTAAATATGACAACAAAAAAGATAGAATTCGCTTAAGATCTGTCTGTTTGCCATCATTTAGGGRAAAAAAATCGATTTCTACCAAATTTGACTGGAATTTCATTTGACTGGAATGCCATTCTCTTAAATCCTTGGTCTGAAGTCTAGATATACTGACAATTCAGTAACAATTTGCATAATGTTTTGCCGTCACAAGTTGTTAAGATTGGTCAGAGCATTGGTGTCAAAAAACAGTTGGACGCATAACTGTCGCTTTTTTTTCTATCTTCACCGATCCAAAGATTTCTTACATCGCGATGATACAGAAATAATGATTATTTTCGCTAGATTGCAGGGTGTGTGGCGACCAATCAACTGGTAAGCATTATGGCGTATATTCATGCGATGGATGTAGCGGATTTTTTAAGAGGACTTCGCGCCGACCAGATCCCTGGGTATGTAAAAGCCGTGGTACCTGCGATGTGGATAAAAACAGCAGGAATGAATGCAAAGCTTGCAGACTCAATAAGTGTATCGAAGCTGGAATGAGTATGGAGGGTAAGTATGAAGTACATTATTTCCACGTATTATGTTGGATATCRCAACGGCCCGTATAGCAATGGCCCTTTTTTATGCGATAACTCATCAGTACTACTCTCTTCAGGACGTGCRTATTGGATTTGGGTTCGGTCAAAACCAATAGAAGTTTAGTCTAATAGTTTAGAACTCTCTACACGCGCCCCTGTTATATCCTTCATTTTTACATATAAAAACTATTCAAAAACTCATACATAATTAATGAGCTATTTGTGCAATTGCAATAAGACGTTTGCATTATGACGTAACTTTACTACAACTACAAGAAAGCCTTGCGCATTTTCATTGTTATTCAGATTTTTAATCAGTCTCCTTGGAGATAAATAAAACAATTGGCACTAATTGCATTTTATTATATAGATGATTTCTAACGCGCGCTCCGATTGGCTAAAAAAGTGTGGTTTATGGGAGTAAAAACCACGATTGTGCGCGAGCGATTTGTGAAAAAGGCAACAAAATGGATTTTTGCTCAAAATCTACATAATAAAACAAATAAATAAGTCTCAGCCTGTGGTTTATACTCTGATAAACGTTAAACAAAAGAAAGTTGGCAAAGCATTCTGGTAGTTGTAGTAAGTTACGCCATAATGCATATCGCCTATTCTCATTGGATTAGCCTATTTGATCACATGAATGAACCTTGAAGAATGAAGAATACTAATAAGGATGATGACCTTTATCAGATTTATAGATATGTAAATCAGGTGTCTTAGTTTTAATCTCATGATTGATCAGCCACAATCCTYAGTACTTGACTTCATGCGCATCTTGATTTTTGTAAGAGATTCGCGCATGATCAGATGATCCCTTTCATGTCAAAGCTTTTACGACAAACAAAACTTATTTTTACGACCATTTCTCCAAGAATCTTAACGTGTTGTGAATTTTTAATTAATGTTGGAGTTTTTAAAGCCGTTTTAAGTATACTTGAAATATTTCAATAACCTTGTTCAGTAAAAGCATTGTTATTAATTATGGGAAAAATGAGTCCTGGAAATGAATATTACAAAAAAATTAGGAAGAAAGGAGTGATTTTCAAAATGCACTGAGCAGCAATGTGAATCAATACTTTCCTTGCTAATACACAAAACGGYAAAATAWAAGTGGTTAGACTGCACTTTTTGACTTGGTTGATATTATATTGATTATTCTAGGATTGCTCAGACGCTCGAGAACATCTTCGAGTATGCAACTAGGAGATAACTCATCATCAAGCACACATGCAGATGTAGATGAATCCGCCCAAGCAAAATRTGAAAATGTGACGGATATATCAAGTAGGTAGCCAGAGGTCCGCAAATACGAACGTGTGTACACTATTGTATATGTACTTGAAAAAAAAAAATCAAATTTTAGAATTTATTGATTAGATTTTTGCGAGGATTACTTGACCACAGAACCGTTTCGAAAAATGTTTCCAAAGTGCATATTTTTTTCATGTGATTAGGCCTATCGTTCACACTAAACCATCCAAAATCAGTGTCTTCGGTTATCTTTGAAAACCCTGTGCAGTCATAAGAATATGTGACTTGAGCGTATATACGTAGCATTGTGTGATACTCTGACTTGACAATATTACCGACATGTTTGTTCATGCCGTCATGTGAATACCTCTCAAATTGACCACCATTTTCCTAATGAAGAGTGCAACGCGACGAAGTCGTCGTAATAGCATATACCTAAGCCATGATGATATGTTCGCTGTATTCTGATCAGGTGTTTGCATTTCTTACTCTAGAGAGTTCAAATGAGCTTTCAACTGCTATTCATAGACCTTTGACTGCTCTTAATTCACCTTTAAATTCAAACAACGTGGTTGTCAAGTCGGAGCTGGGTGACGTGGCCTTCGTGAGTACAACCAGTTCTTCAAGGGCAATTTGTCAGAAACCAAGTATACATCATCAACAGCGCACATTTGTCACAAACAAGCTCAATGACAACTTGTTTGGTAACTCAGACAACTGCCAGTTATCAAACCCTAAAAACAGAATGCTTACCAGTCCCGAGTTACCAGGAAACTCAGCGATTATGAATGGATCAGCCAATATGAAATCTGGTATCAAGTTATGTTCAGTGCAAGACCTTCTTAAAGCTGTTGAGACTGTCAATTTCCAATCAGCAGAAAACATCCAGGATGCTGCCATGAGGCTGATGACATCATCTATTCGTTTTGCTCGTAATTTACCTTGTTTTGTTAAAATTCCTTTCCGCGACCAAATCATACTTCTAGAAGAAAGCTGGAAAAAGCTATTTGTTCTGGACGCTGCTTACTGGGCGCTACCACTTGAGATTGCTTCCTTTTTGAAGGTGACAACGAGTTTGGATGATATTTCTGGCAGATATAACAGTGAGATTCGACTAATGCAAGAACTACTGACGCATTTGAGGTCATTTAGCTACGACCTTACAGAGCTTGCGTGCCTTAAAGCCATTATTATCTTTAGACCAGGTAATTGATACTAATAGCGATGGTGTTATGTAAATGGTGCTGTAAACACAGGGATATCTAGGGAGTTACTCAAAGCTCGGTCAAAGCTTTAATACAATTAAATAAATACATGGCAACAWTTTCGAAAAATAAATTTTAAAAGGAGAGGTATGGTCGAAAGAAAACTATAGGAAGCCACCTTTAATTCTGATCACCATGCAGTCACGTGAACTCCGTACAAGTCATTTATAAACTAATCACGACAACAATAAAACACACCATGTATAAGGGTATTTCGTCTACTTGCAATTAATTACTTAATTTACAATCATGTTTTACCATTTAGATAGAGCCACAAACAAAAAAGAAGTAATGAGAGTTGAAAAACCTTCGAGATGGCTGCCTTCATATTCTTAATCCGAATATTATCACAATGCCAGTGAAGCGCACGCCATATTACGCAATCTTAACGAACTTTTTTCGCTTTCTAGAAACTAAAGGTCTGAAAGACGCGGAAACAGTTGACAGGATTCAAGAGGATATCCAACAACTTCTTTTAGAACACGTGTCTTCACTCCACCCAAACCGTCCTACACGATTTGGTAAACTTTTACTTAGCTTGCTACCTGTTCAAAGTCTTGCAGAAAAACCCATCGAAGAATTCTTGTTTAAAGTAGCAAATGACAAGGACATTTTCGAGACTCTTTTATCAAAGTTAATTGAAACTTGAACGCGATAAAATGTTTRGGACTAAAGGGAACCTTTTATATATTATATATATTTCAAACAGACTCTGGTATGTCCTGAAAAATTAGACAGTGTCAAGTACAATGAACTGAAAAAAACATCCACCGTTATAGTCTCAGTAAATAAATCCCTTTCTCATCATAAAATCAATAATCTTCTTTCTCAATATGGCAATCTTCTTGTATAGACATCGTGAATACCAAAAGGATAAATGAAACCCTTTGASAAAAATGTGTGTTTGGTTATCTAGAATAAAGACAAGTTGTCTGATTATTATAGAACACAATTATTTAATATCTACTTCTTCACGGGTTTTTTGACTTTCACYCTATCAGTGTATTCAGATCTACAATGAAAGGTATGAGTCCAAAGATATGGCTAGCTCTTTTTATATTCTTTCCGTACAATTTATGAAAAAGCTGCTGTTGCCTAACTCCTAGTTTCTTTCCCCCGATACTGCATTTCCGGTGCTGGAAGTCTTGACTATCAAGAGAACTAGAATGATGCCAGCGATGAGCACCAAACTTCCAATGACAGGTAGAACAACGGTTATGGTGCAAGAAACGGAAAAATAGGAAAAAAGCTGAAAAAGAACGTGAAATGTGACTACTAATAGACCATGGTTATATAGTACTGTACATGGCTAGGAAAAGAAAAATAAGGAAAGGGTGTTGGGTGCTAATCGTCCWTCATGGCAGCACGTGTGCTGAATTGCGAAAGACGCAGCTCGACGCGCTCTCAAGTCGAAGTGCTATATTACAGACACATTTTACATATACTTACACATAGGCGTTCTGCCGGCTAGGCGCTTCCTTTACATAGCAAGGTCGACTGAACTTGGAGCACAGCAGATAGAAATGCTTCGTTTTTACTCAGGGAGGAAAACCCGAAAAGACCCGGAAAAACCYTCGACGGAAGGGAGAGAAYGAAAGAAACTCAAGTCACGTATGGCGCCCCGACCGAGATTCGAACAGGGTCCACAGAGGTGACAGGCTAGTGCAAACGTTATAAGTTTTAARCTTTACCTCATCTTGAAGATAGCTTGCACCCTTTTTTGTCAGTTTGCCCCCGTCTTCAGTCCAAAATAGTGGGAAGTGTTTAGTATACGGCTTCTCAGTTTCGTAGAATGTCATGTTGAGTGGGCGATGTCTTTCAGTGCTGATTATTTCCTTAGTTATCAGCGAATTGATTTGTACTCTAAACATAACATTCATTGGTTTTCCGGTAACAGGCTCGATGTCGATCTATTTGAAGACTAAAAAGTATCAAGACGACAAGCACCAAAGAATGTACAAATGAATTAATGATTAWGGTAAACATTATGCAACCAAAGTAGGTGCACAATTTGTCCTAGTGGCTTTTCGCTCTTTATTATAAAGATATCGATCGATGAAACATGATATAGAGAATATTACAAATTAATATACGGATTATATTYTCTAGGATGCTCCCACTTGTGAGAGATTTCCAACACGACATGATAAAGTTCGTATCTCCAAAAGATCATGCAATATTCTGTTTATCGTAGAATTATCTATAAAAGCAAATTATATTGTAAAATAACTTTTTTCCGATATTTTGAGATAACGGCTATGAATGTGATTCTTTCCATAGAGAAAATATTGCAACCTGACTAAAATTGTGCAGAACTTTTCGAAATAGAGAAATATAGGTATTTCACAGATTGATTATAATGAACAGAATAACAGAATATAACATGGTCGCTTGGAGAATTTATCTTCTCGTGTTGAAAATCTCTCAAAGAGTGAGCATCTCGAAGATAAAATCTCCGCCCATGTAGTAAACTAGATATCTTTAATAGAAAGTGGGAATAAAAGCACTGCTTTTGAGTGAACTATTCATAATGCTTGAGCTTGGAGATTTACCGTAGTTCCATACGTTTCAACTTCTGGCTCTACCATGGAAAGCTGTTTGTAAAGGCTTGAATGACAATAAAGAAAGCCTGGAGCACTGATGGACACAGGAATACCACGAATGTTGGACACGTCAATGATGCCATCCATGAAAATTGTTCTATTGTTCGTCTTCAAATAAACAAGACATTTATGTTACATAATGAAATTATGAACGTCTAGTGYTAATAGTAGCTAGAATACCTTCATTATATCTTCGTCAAGTATGTATCTGTTTAGATGAACACCATGGATTGTCTGTGATGTTTGGTATTTCAGTCTCAGTTGCTGGAAGATCGCTCCAACAAATATGTCAAAATGAGGGGCAGTAGCAGGATATGTATTTTTGCATGTGGATAGTTTCCGTGTGGCAGTAAACTGTGAAGTATGGTAACCAGCAATTTTTAGTTGCTCTGGCATAGCATTTGGAAAGTAGGACTGAGGAACCATTGTTTTGCCATCATAACCTGTTTGAAAAAATACTTTAATTATCCCTTTAACTACCAACATCACACATGTGACATTAATCATCCACTCTTTTTTTAAAAAAATCCCTTTTCTCTGGTTAGTGACCAAAGTAATAACAATGTCTTGTGTTGTTTACGAARTTCCCTGGCTGCCAAATTCTAAACTAAGACTTTTGCTCCTTTTTCGTGAGTATTAGACTCACTTTGGTTTTGATGAGATCCTGCACACGCTTACAAGTAAGAGAAGAGCACAGTTCTATTGTTCAAAATCCTTACATTCAGGCCGAAACTCAACTTCTTCAGRATATATGACCTATCTATTTTACATTGTTCAAAGTAGCTGCATAAACTACAGTGTAGATTGTACTTGCACAGCATTATCTTATCAGGCAAACAATTCTTTTTCTGTAAGCTCGAGGTTCAGCCAAATTGTAATTTTATCTTAAATACTATGGTCCAATTGTGATTTTTGTTTTTTTTTCGAAATTTCATCAAAATGTATTCCCGTTATTACCTACGACAAGAGAATTTAATTTTTGAATGATCAAAAAAACAAAAACAAAAAAACAAACAAACAAACAAAGGTTGGCAAGTAACAAAAAAAAATATCTTTTCTGACATCATGTATACCTACCTGCCCAGGTATAAGGTGCGCCTAAGGTTGAGCCGCACGTATATAACGATACAACTTTGCTTTTATTACGAGCAWCAGATTCACTTGCATGATTTTCCAAAACTCCAGGAACAGGAATCCCATTAGGGTACTTAGGAGGTAATGGAAGTTTGGTCATTGTATATCCCAGTACAAGTTCTTTTACCGGACGTGAAACGATAAGCCCATAGTTGTTCTCATCTAAGAAGTTAAAGGACGTAGCGGCTAGATAAGATGTTACAAATAGTGTCAAAGCTTGAATGGTAATGGCGTCGTTGACCTGGAAACAGGTWCTACTATTTCGGTTAGGGCAAAGAAGTTCGTTCATTCTTGCTTGTAGCTTCTGCATTTTCGTTGCTTTGATGGTTGCATTTGAAATGGTAGTATTAGTTTTAGCAAGAGCAGCATATGCCCCAAGRTACGTCACAAGACCTCGCTCTTTAACAGTTGGATCTGTGGTGTTTGACGTTTGAGGAGGTAATAAGAGAGATGCGTTTGTAAGAACATTATAGAGAGCTTCCATTTCAGTCCAGTTGTAGCTTTTTCCCGCTCTTGTTCCGTTAATGATACTWGCGACAAAGGATGAGTTTTCGCCAAGCCATGGCCCGAAAGCGGGTACACCTCTTTTATCTACAGTCACTTTATGATTACCAAGATAAGTATACGCGCTTTTTTTGTCAGATATCTTGACCTGCAATTGCTCTAGATATGCCTTGACAATATTAGGAATCATAAACAAACTAAACGCACGATCTCCTTTAAATTGTGCGATAAGTCCCATATAAGCAGTATTCAGTATAGTAACCTGATGAAAACAGAATATATTTTAATTAACCATGGATATTTAAACAATGTTAATAATAAAAATAAAGCCGACACATCATGAATGCGAAGTTTCATGGGATTCATTTGTGTGTATAGTCGATGAACAAAAGGTTGTCGTCGACCGGACTTCGTAGCACGGGACCAACCCGAACAGATTTCTGGGTAAAAATCAATGAACTGGAAAATTTGGCATAACAACACCTTCTAGTATAGTGCCAATTTGTTACGGCTTTTATTAAGAACTCGGAGACAAACAATGAACGTTGTGATGTATTTCCCGCCACGATAGTAAACAATGTGAGATGCAAAAATTACATGCATGCATAATTAAATTTCCGTGATTTGGAAATTTTTGTCACACATTATGTGTCCGTTCTTCCAATCAAAAAGGCCTTCAAATCTCTAAATTGCCACTTCATTGATTTTTACCCAGAAACCAGTTCAGACTAGTCGCGTTTCGTGAAACCCTGTCGACGACAACCTTTGGTCAATCGACTGTATATGATACTCTTGTCAGGGGGTATGTAGGGATTTCATTACGGGGAATCATTCAAGTTTTGCTTTAGTGTTCCAAGACCGTAAAGAAGACGATTGTCTGCAAGATTGCACGAGTATTGTTTTGCATCCACACCCATGAAATTGTTGGATTATCCAAGGATAGCGTMAATATAGCTAAGGATCTGGTAACTAAGGTTTTATAAACGGAATCTTGTCAATCCTCCGTGAATTTCGGATTGCCTAATATTAGTCAAATTGTGCTATGGACTGTTTTCCATCCCGTTTATTTATTTCCTAATTAGAGAAAACGTGATGATCCTCTTAATGATTTAGCTATTTACAAGCTATTTATAAGCATGCATTAGTTTATGCATTTCCTYTTCTTTTTGGTCAATGTTGAGATTAATCTCTTTGGTATTTTTTTTTACAGTGCAGGACTTAAGACCTTTGCCATTACCTTGTCATTTTCATTGCAGCTTGGGCATTTCTCATGGGTTAACTCTGCATCAAACACTTGTGTTTTGTACTCTTTAAAAGATACAGTGTCTTTATCAAAATTGATGTCTATTTTTGTTCCTGTCGTCGTGTAAATGTATGGACCTTTCTCTTCAAGCTGAGAAAGATAAAATAGACCTTGGCTTAGGAAAAGATAATTAGTGGGTAGTAATCGACTATACAATTAACCTTGGGAAGTTTCCTTTGATACAAAAATTCTTCTTTATTCAGTATATGCCAGAATGTAACCGATGTTTTGCGTACAGATTTGGCGCTCTGAAAAACAAAAACGATAAAATATGAATAATAATAAAAAATCAGTGTAATACCTAGCAACCTAAACACGTGATCATTTTGCTAAAATCCCTGATGCCTGAGCGAAAATGAAAAAAAGCGTTAGTGCGTCGCAAGGTAATTCTCAGAAATACAAATCATATTTGCCTAAATATGTTACATCATAGCATTTCTGTATACGATGTCATTTCAGTGCAAGCAATATYTTGGCATTGAAATACTATTGAAGTCGTTATATTTGYCTTCCCATGTTCCCCGGTTTTCGGTCTCATCTTTGATGATGTGACCTTCGTGACCTTTTGGTGTTCGCCGTTGATTATATACATATACAAAATATGAGTTACCATGATGTAAAATATTTGAACGTCGCTAAGTGCTTCAATGTTTCTTTTTATGGAATCTTTATTGGATAGTTGACTTCCTGTCTGAACGTAGTCATAGAATAAAGTTGTACGATGGATGTGTATCAGAATGGGACACTGTTCCATCTGGTGTCCCGCAAGGRACCAAATTAGGTCCCTGATTTTTCTTGATTGATAGACGATTTTGATAGCGACTACCGATGGCCATCTATGGAAATACGTCGATGACACAACGGCCTCCGAAGTTGTTAAGAACGATCAAGCCAACAGATCAAGATATCACCAACGAAGTTATAGACGGTGGTCCAAGAGAAACAGACTTCAATTGAATACTGACAAAACTGAGCAAGACTACTACGCATCGGTTTCTCGCGATCTCCTACAGTTTTCGACCCTGGGGTTAGGGTTAGGGTGACGTGAAAGTAGTTGAACAAGCCAAACTCTTGGACATTACCATCTCCGAAGATCTGAAATGGAACGCTTACATAGCTGAGATCACTAAGAAAAGCAGCAAAGAGAATTTATTTCCTTGTGCAGCTAAGAAGAGCTCGTGTTCCACCGAAAGACCTGTGTCTCTTCTATACTGCATGTCTTCGATCTGTAATTGAACATGTGCTCAAGTCTATTCCAAAGTATGATCGGATCCAGAATTGAGTCACCTCCTTAACTCGCTACACAACCTCCGACAGAGCAAGGCACAAGCGTACCAATTGACTAATTGTAAGACTAATAGATTTAGAAATAGGTATATTATAGCTTTGGCTAGTAAAGTAAACCGCCAATAATGATGTACACTATCTGTAGGTTCTTTTTCGAAATGTTTTTAACGTAAGAGATGTATATCAATATCATTCAGTAATCTATTTCTCTATTTCTACTTTTTAAAATATATTATATCATCTTTGTTAATAATAATACGCAATTCAGTTTTAGCTGCGATGTATTTATCAATGAATATCTATCTGTCTAAAAAAAGCACCGACATTCGTGATGGTCGCCCTTATTGGTACACGTCGATTATCCGGGAAAATGTTAAAATCTTACCATTTGCTTATGGAGAAAGAAAAACCCGGTAAGTGACTCAGTTCTCTCGGTTCGTCCGGCCCTATGAGCAAACTCCYCAGCAATCTCATTCCAAAAATCCCGGTGGTATCATACATTTAGCCCTGACTGATTTATTGGTAATTGATCATTGGTAAGCAGCTAATTTTCTAACACAACTGATCCCACTAACCTAAAAATTCTGAGCATGCAGSAGTAATCGGAAATACCAGTCCGTTCAATATCAAGATAGCTTAAGCAATGGTTTTGGGTGATTTAGCTTCTTTTTTACTGGAACATGGTTGGTGAATGTTTTAATTGCATATTGTTGGCTGGTGCGCGCGGTCAGTTTTTTTTAAATCATGAGGTTCCGTTTGAAGCAGATGTATGTATTTAGAAGAACATTGTTAACTTTATCAAGAAAATTATCATAATTTAACAGAAGATGCTATTGCATTTTTGTTATAAAGACGTAAAAGACAGTTGGAATCAAAGAACTAAGCCGATGTTTTATTAATTTCACTTGAAACTCTACTCTTTTACTAACAATGAACAAATCGGCCTTCTTTTCTCTCAGTTTATAATCGAAATCCTTTTCTCTCTGTWCCGTACAATCTCAGTTTATAATTAAAATCCATTTCTGTACCGTACAAGCCGATGTACTTTTACTGTATCATACCCGATTGGTTGTCGTCTGRGTRAAGACGAAACAAATATCGACGAACATCACTCTTCATCCTTGTAGAACTAGTACTTATGCTGATAGAGCTCAAAATGAACCTGTTCAGCTGTAGCCATATAAGAGCCTCCTGCATGCAGACCGCCGATAATGAAACGGGTTACAGTTAACACTTTGTTCGGCTGTTTTTAGTTAGTTTTACATGGAGTAGTTTGCTTTTCATGTATTTCATATTTTATAAATTTTGAAAATTATTGATTYACTTAAAAAGCGGTTGGATTTGGTATAACGTTTCCGATGGCTATCGAGTCTCTCGATAGAAGACAGTTCTCTTCTGTCCGATAATTACAAAATGAATATCAATTTAGCAATACGACGGTTTGAATCGTCCAGGGCCACAGGTTTATCAATATTACTRTTAAGTTATGGAGACTTATTATTACTATTTTACATGTACAAGCTGGTCACTTTTGGACATACCCACTGTCGGAAGCTTTCATCAGTTTTGCTTGTAACGCAGTTTTTCTTGGCAACATTGTCATGAACGCTTTGTATAATCCTTCGACCAACAAAAACACCAATCAAAATCAAAACTATCCCACTTATGACCAGAAATACAGCAAGTTTCTTTTTCCATTCGATTGCCATTTTGAAGGAAAACGTCTGACAGATGTCATACATGAAAATCATAAATTCATACCGTTCCCATGGAGACAAACAATATATTAACGAAGAAAGCAATCTTAGTTTTCAGTTCAAAGACTATAATAACGTATTTTGTACTGACGAGAACGACTATCAGACRAAATATGCAAAAAACCTAAAAGAAACAAGCTCTGGTGACACACAGTAGAAAGATAATTTAGAGGATATTTCGCTGTACTTTAATGCTTGCGGGGTTGTATATAACTTATAGCCAGTTTRCAACCTGAGTGTCAATCGATAGTGTTTTGCCACAGGGAATAAAATTCAAGAACAAAAATTAAAGAACTGCTTGGCTAGCTCCACTATAGAGAAGGAAAATGAAGCAYAGAGAATCTTGGCAGTTGTAGCTAAATGACGTCATTGTGCAAATAACCTATTATTTCTTTAATCTCAGAACCAGAGAGCATAAACAGAGGGCATACTGTCGTTTATGTAGCTTATCAGTGTGTTTATGAATTTATAAACGAGACTAACGGAAGCGATAGTTTCTTGAAAACGGCGGAAAAAACACCATATTAAAAAATATCAATGGTGTAAATGGGGTCTGAAAATCTTGCGTCATAAAACTATACTAAGGTTCTTGTCCATGTATGTTGAGATTTTTAAGCATCCAATCTAAAATGATAAAAAGCATGTTAGATGACAGTGTGTTTCATAAAGCAGYGAACTTCCATAGTTGCAGTCATATATACCTTGGTTTCTTAGCCTTGGTATATTCAAAATAATTAAACAGCGTAGTACAGTCATTGCCATTTCTCGTTTTCGATTTTCTCTTGCTAAGTCCAACCTGTTTACAACGACTAAATCCGGCGCATCCTACTAAGAAAAAAAGACTGGTTATTCCATATATATTTAAGTGTCTTGATTCCATTTCAAATTATTTTAGTTTATAGACCATTGGTTGCATTTTGTGTAGTCGAGGAAATGACTATAAATTTCGCTTTTATCTCGTTATTACTTACTAGATGATATGGGCTTCCATTGGATGTGCTTCTTGACAATCTAGAGGAACAAAACCGATAKACGGCACTTATTAAAAGAGGGAAAGGATTTAATAAAATCACTATATAACTTGATTCTATCCGAATATCCGTTTTAGATTTCGTCCATTTGGACAGGAAAGCAGTCCCCTGTTAAAAATGAATGTTATCTGCATAAAAACGTTCTTGTCCCGCAAATCGCATTTGATGAATTTACGATGACAATTCCTTACCCCATCAGGTGGTGCTTCTGTTTCATTGTCCGATAAACAGCCACTATCAGTAACCGCACTATCTTGTTTTGTTGTAACTTTATCATTGCTTTTGATCTTCGGTTTGTAGACAAACTTATTTAAAGACCTTAAGGGCGTAGCCGTAGAAGATGGGTTAGGGCTAGTTACATTTAATACCCTTAAAGGCTTGTTGGCCACAGGAATAGTACTCTCGTTGTAGCCATTGGGCGTTGCCCTAACATCTTTATGACGTCCATTTTGTAATCGACTGTCTTCGTAGTCAATTTGTAAAGCACTCGGAAATATCTTTCCCGGACTTGTACGAGTAACATTGAACGTGTCTATTTGACTGTTTTCTTTTTGAAGTTCTTCCTCTTCATAGGATGGAAGTGGGATGCAAACCTCAGCCAGGGAAGGTAAGTCCGAGAAAATACTTTTACTGACATTCTCCGGGGTGGAATTCATATTTACAAAATAACTACAACAAAGAAAGAAAGAGAGTATTATTATTACTCGCACGAGTCGTTACTGCACATTTTAACGGACCTCTATTCGAACAGACCTGCTAAGTCGTCCTGGTGCCATGTTCTTGCTTTTCAAGCGAAAAGGATTCTTCAGCCTTTGTTTTCGTGAATGGCAACAGCTTTGTTTGCGTTCTGTTGAGATTGCAGGTTTCTTTTGCTTCAGGAAAGTATACATTTTAATAAGGTCTTTCTCTTCTGATGCATTATCATCTGTTTAAGGGACGAAAAAAAGAATGAATAGAATGAGTTCATGAACAAAKTGTTATGTAAAACAATGTCGTGCAGACTATGTGTACATACTTTCTTTTAATCTTGTCCGATTTAACGGTGGCAATAAGAAACGTCGGCAGCCTGTTGTAGGGTCTTCGCCATTGTGTGTATTGGCTGTGGAAGGTGTCAGGGACTGTTGACAACTGCTATTATTAGAACATGCTGACATATCTATCTTGATTTCAGATTTATCAATCTTGACAACAGACAAACAAATATCAATTATTACAAGATTATTAGTTATTGCAATATTGTTCATAGCATGACAGTGATATGGCACACGTTCTCATTGTTTTGGAGCCATAAGCAACACTATCAGCCAGTATGTGCACTGTTTATACAGTACTGTTGTGGATTGATCCATAACCATTCATTATTATTTCAAAATTGGAACATTGCCATCTTTGCAACTTTACCTTTTCATAATTATTATCATTTCAAACAATGGCATACAATAATTTATAATAACATGATAGTAATAATTTAAAATGTGGTGTGACGATCAGCATTGAAATACCTTATTGATAAGTGGATCATAGTCATCCATTATTTCATTGGTTATTGGGTTGACATTTCCTAATGCAATTGCCAAAGCATTTTCCTTAGGAATTAATCTTCCATTAGTCAAGTTATTAATAAAAGTTTACTAATATCTTCACATGAGAAACATATGATATCATCCACTCTCGAAAAAAGCAARTGTTCAACATTAGAGTAATRTAGGATATTACATGGGCGYGTGGAGATACTGATTTTATTTTCAAGTGTTGAAAAGATAATTAATGAAGTGTTTTTATTTAAGATTTTGATAAAATGATTGAAAAATGGCAATACAAATAGTCAAATGTCACTAAAATCAATCAATGTAACACAATGAATAMTATAACTATTTGTAGTTGAAATTAAATGTTTCATAACAATTTTGGAATGCACCATCTGTGAATGTGKCATTTTCACGACACTGAAGAGTGTTTTTTCTGCGATTTTGTACTTATTGACGGTCCACAACATATTATTGACTGCTGGTCATCATTATTACTTATCTAATATCTATCTTTCTTGTCTCAAAATGGTGTTTACACAGTATAGTAGCAGGGATTAAAGGATACGATCCAGCAAAGTTTAACTGTCCAGGTAAAACACCATCAGGCAGTGGTGTAAGTGGTACAACAGACTGGCTAATTGGATCAAACACCATTTGATATAAGAATGTCTCATCAGCTTGTTGAAAGTTCTTCTCATAGTTGTCTGGCACTTTAAGCTTATTCTCTAGCCTAATATTTCTTACAAGCTAAGATACAACATACAACATGTYATCACTACAGATATCAACAAAGGTGAATTTTTTGTGTATTTCAGTTGATTCTTTGCTGATAATTATATAATATATATTCAGATTTGTAATTCTTTTAGTTTTTATGTTCAAACATTTGTGGCTAAATGATCATATGAGGTAATTCTAGAAAAATATCGCAAAGATGAACTTGTGGTGATGCTGCGSCCTAGGGTTCAATCATCAGATGGCAAAGTCATATTAATATAACATCAATGATCATCCTATTACCTTTGTAATAGTGGAATGTTTTCTAACAAGTTTGTTTGCTGTCTTAAGACCAATTCCTTTAATTGATGGTAGATAATCACATCCAGAAAGAATACACATGTGTCGAAACCTTTCCAAGGTAAATTCATGCATTTTTAGGTCCTTCAGTTTAGGAAGGTCATCCAAGTCAATGAGAGTTCCATCACCAAATTCATCCATTTTGAATATAACCTACAGGAAGCAAGCACAACAATGACTTTAATTTTTATGTGAGTTTGTTTGTAAAATAAAAGACATCATGATTRGTACATTGCACATAATTATTAGTATTTGATTCAGCTAATAATGTTCCATTTTTGCTTCTTTTTGATGATTTGCWATGTTCAATCTAACCTTCTTGCATCCATACACTAAAAGGTCAGAGTCTTCAGATATAACTGCTTGTGTTATTCCAGTTTTCATTAGGTAGGCCAATTGAGAATCTGCTTCATATGGTGCCACTAAATAATCAATGTTTCTTTCTCTGCAAACCTGAAAATAGATATCACATATCAAGTGTTTGGGGTTTAAATCTGCATACAGATCTCCTTGCTTGTATAAAATCTATCATTTTTCTACAAGCTCCTTCATAAAGTGTCAATGAAACTAGTCTGTCCCACTGCAATCACAGAGAGCCCAAGCAATAAGTTTRAATGCACAAGAAATTGTCAGAAATAAACTTTTTAACTTCTCAAATGTTCTACTTTAACCATGTATTCAAGTTAAACACATTGTAATGGATTCCAAAATATCTCCGCATCAAACACACTTGTATATAACATTCACCATCAAATAAATCCTTTCCTTAAAAAAAGTGCATGTACAGCAATAACAACCATACAGCAGCAAACCCTCATCATGCCAGTCTACTATTGCTACCAAATCAATGTAGTTGTAACCATTATTGATTCTACTATATTCTCTTGCTCAATTTACAACATGATCATCATCTACTGACCTTGATAACTTCAAGTGCCATTTCAGGGGTTACATCCACACATTTCTGAAAGCATTCACAGGCCTGAGTTTTGTTACCAGCACGGAGGAAGGCTAATCCTTTGGCTTTGTTCTCCTGCCTTGTTCTAAAATTTTGCAAGAAAGAATATAAYACCAAAAATTATACATTGAACCACAGGTGCAAATTCACTCTGATAGCAATTAAACATGCTGATAACTATCAAAATCACCTAGTCTTCAAGATAATCMTGAAGACAAGGTGATGCAGCAATGATGCTTATTGTTGATACTAAACTAAACCTAAACTAATATACAAAATGCTGTCTATTTCTAAAACAGCTTTTTTAACAAATACCAAGTTTAGCACCATCTATTTTAAAATTAGAAATCATTTAAAAAACAATTGGAAAAATCTAGGTTTTATAAATGTATATTATACATATTAAACATAATATGATTATAATGATGATGCAATTTTAGTCTGTTCCCTATATCCAGAAAACATTTTTAAAGAAATTATAGCATAAATCTTGAGCAATAGATGATAGAGGAATTTACTCTAATTTGCCTAATTATTTAGTTTGTAGACATTTCATATATTGAATATAATCAACTGCAATATCCTTACTTTCTCCTCTCAGCTTCTTTACTTGCTTTTGATGGAAGATGACCACCATCAAGTACTACATAAGGCTTGATATTATAGTATAACATCATTTCTAATCTTTTTATAACATAGTTAAGGTATCTGAAATGAGAATTTAACAGATAAATACTGTATTTCACTGTCTTTGTATAAAACGTATCATACAATAAAAACACTGTTTTTAGTGACATATTTAGAATAGTCAACAGTGCCTTTACTACGAACCCAAACAGAAATATGACCTTCATTTACTATTTATGAAATGTTTCCCCTCAAGAAGTTCAACAATTTTTCCTGTGAATATTTCTATAAGTATGGCAATTTTAACCTTTAATAAATTTCAAACTAAGGCACATTTCAAACTACATAACAATTCAACAAGAAGCAAAATAAAAAAAATTATTTGTGGTTAGCAGTCAATAAAGAACCTCCCTTTTCAGTTACAGTTCTACTTTTGACTGTGAGATATAAGTTACACRTATAAATTTGAAGTGCTTAGTATAAAATTATATTCAATAAAGTACTTCAAACAGTTTATTACCATTCTTTTTTTCCTTTGCCACAGTTTGTTGCACRGGGAAGTATTTAGGGTGATACATGGATTTGAACCGATGATCAGTGTATCATGAGATCTGTCAGTGACACCATTATGAGTCAACTTTAGACAAGGTGTTGAACTGAAACCTGAGGGAGATCTCCCTCTCTAACTATGATGTACCATATTGTTTGCCAGTGATATCAAAATAGAAGATTGACTCGCTTTGCTCAAAAAAACCTGGATAGAAAAATGCTGACAATGTTTACTATACTTACACTTTAGTTTGCTTTCCTTCAACTATGTCCATGGCACAGCCATATGCTCCTTTATGGAGCCAGCAATAAGTATCAACACCGATGGTTTGACCAGAAAACTTTGATAGGTGTACGTCTTTTTGAATTGGTTTCAAAAGAGGCAGCAGACCTTGGATTCCCATTTTGTCGAAGAGAAGCTTTCGTATTTCAGTATTTATACGAATCCTCGGCAAAGCTAAAGTAAGCTTATGTTGTTGGGAGCCAAACTTCGCCGACTTTCAGCAATTCTTGATTGATGTTTTTTTTTTCAAATGACCTCCTAAACCAATTCGTTAAAACGCTTCTTGTCACTATTACACGATGATAAAGAGTCCTAGGAATGTTAAAATTCYAAATATTAAATAAAGACGGACATAAAAACGCAATAAACAGCTCAAGCAAACAGAACTCCAATCTCCCGCGCCTTCAGTAGGCCTCTCTCCTCAAGCCCCTCWATCCAAGACGTGACCRCAAGAGCCTGAGATCGAATGAGTTTTGTTACAACAAAACAAAGATGGCTGCCACTTCGGTTCCCTTACATCATCCCAGTTTAAACGCTGATGTCTCGTACGAAACATACCCTGATGAATTCACTTTTACCTCTCCAAGTTCTCAAGACTCCCDTTTATATTCTGGATCGATCGATGCTCAGGGTACTGAGGTAAAAGGTGGTCAAAACGAAGTCCAAGATGAAGGGGGATCCAGCGCAATATATTCACAGATCTTGAGTCGAAAAGGCTTCGAGTGGTTGCTGGAGGTAGATGAATCAGATGATAATGATTTCAATAAACCTCTTTTGTAAGTTCTTTTTGAATGATATTTGTTTGAAATTATTTGTTATATTTTTTGAAATTTTAGAATTTCGGAAAACAAAAAATATTGGTTTAGCTATCACAGGGCCATTCCATTTTATATCCACACCACCCCCCCCCCCCCCCCCCCCTATATATGTTTTTTTGGCTAGTTTGAACCCTTAAGAAAATTACTAAAAATTATACGAATACCCTTCAAAAAAAAGGCCAATTTTTCTAAAAACCCCTAAGAAAAATGGCTTTTAAGTACTAAAAAGCCTTCAGAAAATAGTTATTTTAATTTGTACTCCTAAGAAAAATGCAATTTTACTAAACTACCCTTCAGAAAATGGTGATTTTAATTTTTACCCCCAAGAAAAATTGACTTTTTACTAAATAACCCTTCAGAAAATCATACTTTTGCCATGTACCCCTAAGAAAATTGCCTACCCTGAATACCCTTCAGAAAAAANAATCAAAAGTAAAGTTGCCTGCATTGGGAGATGACCTTTACCAAAATAAAAAAGCCTTCGAAGAAAATTAGCTGGAAAACAAAATCCTGCTTGTGATCAGGTCCAAAAAATGTAAATTACAGATCCCTGAAAAGATAACTGGAGATAGCTACAGTGTAGCCACACAAAAACCTGCACAAGGCCTAGGGCATATACTRTATCRATGACAGCCCTATTCAGTTACCTTGCAGAATGTCTATCTGCTTTTGTGTTCAACCATTTTGTATGTTAGCAGCCACTCCTTATTCATGATTTCCTTAGAAGTGATGGTTTTGACCACCATTTTKTTTGGAAGCAATTAAATTCATTTTTAGTTCTCCATATATTTCTTTGTATTTTTCACAAAGYCAACTAAGATCAACTAAGTCCTTCAAAACTGGCCAKTTAACTGCTTTTCGTAGTATCTTACATTTGAAATTAATGCTTTTTTAGAATAGGAATTCAACTGGAATCATTTGACATCAATTTCTCACTGTAACCCTGTTATTTTGTGAGACCTTGCCTACCCAAACAAAATGGCATCAAAACTGTCAGTTCATCTATTAGCAAAGCATTCATACTTGGCTATTTTGTTTCTTTTGTCACGGTACAGAGGATGACATACATCAGCAAATAATGTTCATGCAATYTTTCTTCGAGCAATAGATAATGTTCAAGAATATAATATGAGCTGGAGAACTTTATGGGCATTTAAAACTGTAAGTTGCAAGCGAGCAGTTTTATAGCCCATAAAGGTCGGATACAAATATTTTATATTGATTATCAAATTCCAACATAAGGTAAAGCATATTTSGAAAAAAAACTTCAGGATAAAATATCATTTGTAAGAGAAAATCGAAGTTAAAGTCATATGCAAATCAGGACAAATCTCTTGCTCATATAAAGATGTGGTCACGRCAGTGATTTTCCATTGTGTTTACCTTATAAATTATTAATGAATTTGATAAATGCATATACAAAATTCACTTTCATCTCTGTTTCATTCCAGGGAAGARCTTGATATTGATGTCCATGACATATATTATAAAGTACGCTGTGTACTATTTCCATTGCCATCACTTGGATTCAAGAGAGATGTTTTGCGTGATAGTCCTGACTTTTGGGGTCCTTTGTTTGTTGTGCTTGTATATGCAATGTTGGCTTTGTATGGACAGTTTCGGGTAAGAATTAAATATATTATTATCAACATTAGGATTTAAATTAAAGAGTTGATAAACAGGCTACTCATGACCAAAGATGATGATCCTCATTACAACAAAGAATGAACATCATGCTTCTGGACTTCGCCTACATTTATAAATATCTGTGTGTTTTTATAATTATTTTTATGTCAATTATATATAAAAAAATACCAGTATTAGGGAATGTTTATTATTTCTTGGGGCAAGGGGGTTTTGACAATTAATTAGTAAAGGCACCTAAGTTTTCTTGGAGCCCTTCTGCAAAAAAAATATTTTTCTCAAAAAATGTTATCCTAATGTGACTAATTGAACTATTTCGTAATTGTTTTAGGACATTTTGGATGTACAAATGTAAAAATAACTAGCAAAAAAGAAAAAATTAACTTCACAGATTTAGCCAACGTACTTGCCAGTATGCCGGCCAAAGCAGAACTGACTTTATTACAAAACAACTGACACATTGCGTGATCGCTCACATCACACTGCATGTCACGCAATGCACATAACGTACATTATTTTCAATCTTACCACACTTGATGAAAATATTTCATCTCCAATGCACATGCATACACAGCTGGTAAAGAAAGCAATGTGAAGAAGACGTGATTGTATGCAAGAAGATTAAAATTATTAAAATAGATATGTTGTAAGATCAAATGGCATTTTCTGTGTGTGTGTACTTCTCAGTAATTAATGCACAGATCTTGAGCAATCCAAGAGCATGTCAATATAGAAAATATGATAAAAATTTCTCTTTTTGGATTGTATGGACTTTTAAGCTTAAAAGTTTCCCTTCTCTTGTAGGTTGTTTCATGGATAATAACAATTTGGATATCAGGATCCTTGATCATATTCTTGCTTGCTAGAGTGCTTGGAGGAGAGGCATGTTCTTTTGTTCTCCTTGTTTAAGTTATTGGTATACTAGTTGTAAAACTTAACAAAATAAACAATATTTTGTTTAGGGAATGTTAGAGATGAGTTTAATTTTGTTTGATTAACAGGTCAATTATTCTCAATGTCTTGGTGTAATTGGGTATTCAGTTATTCCTCTGGTTTTAACTGCACTTTCTTTACCATTGGTCCATCTGTTTCCTATGGTTGGATTCATTATTAAGGTAGAAACATGCTTTCATTAGTCCCATGTATAATTATGTTAATGTTGTTATTTTTTTGTTTTGTTTTCAGGCGTTTGGTGTTGTTTGGGCATCATACAGTGCAGGGTCACTTTTAATTCAAGAAGAACTCAAAACAAAAAGACCACTACTTCTTTATCCCATTCTGCTTCTGTACATCTACTTTTTTTCCCTTTACACAGGAGTATAGTTTTATAGTATATCCAAAACTTAAATGTCTTAGTAACTTACAAAAACATTGCTTTAAAAAGGGATGATGAATGCATGGTTTTACAAAAACACATTCTCAGGGGGGAAATATGGGTTATTTTTGGCAAGGATAACTTTGTAGATAGTTAGAAATATGAACAGATGATTATTGGATTTGCCTTACATGCCTTGTAAAATTATAATGAATTAAAGTTATCATTGGCTGTTGACATTTGATTATTTTTACTCACTTTCTTCGACATCATTAGTGCTACAAATGCATGTTTAATAAGACGCATGGGTGGCCGAGCGGTGAGAGCGCTGGCCTGTCACCTCTGTGGACCCTGTTCGAATCTCGGTTCGAATCTCGGTCGGGGCGCCATATGTGATTTGAGTTTCTTTCGTTCTCTCCCTTGCGTCGAGGGTTTTTCCGGGTCTTTCCGGGTTTTCCTCCCTCAGTAAAAACGAACCATTTCTATCTGCTGTGCTCCGCGTTCAGTCGTTCGTTGCTATGTAAAGGAAGCGCCTAGCCGGCAGCACGCCTATGTGTAAGTGTATGTAAAAATGTGTCTGTAATATAGCACTTCGACTTGATAGCGCGTCGAGCTGCGTCTTTCGCAATTCAGCACCCGTGCTGCCATGAAGGACGATTAGCACCCAACACCTTTACCTTTNAAAAGGTTGATGCTATAATTCAAAAACTGTTCACCTGATGCATCAAGCAAGTAGTGCAATGCATCAAGCAAGTCATTTTATAGAAMAAAGGCAAGCATGATCAGATGGGAGTTGTCCTTTCACTTTTTATAACCCAAAATATCTCCCTGACAGCTGGAGGCCATATACATGTTGAAAAGTGCATGGAGACTGCATTATATTTACAGCATGTTTTGTTGCAGAAAATGGTGCCACTACTTAAGTTAGAGCTCTACCGTATTAAACTTTTCTAATTTTATCCCGATCCAGCCCCATCCATCAAAGACAATAAGAATTTTTTGATAACAAAAAAAACTAAAAGATACATTTTTTTCCTACCGAAATTTTCAGATCAGTTTTATTTCTAGAAGAGTTAAGTTTGCTGATATTGACAACTTAAAAGCTGTTCTCAGTTTTATTTGCTCTGAAATTCAAAGTTAATTACATCCCTTGGCAGGCCCTTAGGCTGCTTAGAAATGGAAACTAAAATTAGTTCAATGCACAGGTGTGTAATGTAAGAACTGGTTGTTTTACCATAACTTGCAGAATTCTCGCACGCTGATTGGTCAAGAGTCGTTGTCGATCTTAGGACAGACCGATGAAATGACGAATCGCTCGCTCACGGAACCGGCGCGCGCCAGAAACGATTTTGTTTTGAAAGTTTTACTTTGTTTTCGGCTTTGTTATGGTAAAAAACAAATCGAAATCGCTTTTCGCTACGCTCGTGGTTCCACTTGAGTTTTGATCATTTTCTGACGTCATTTTCATTGTCGATAAGCGTACAGACCATATAATAGAAAAGCGATTTCGATTTGTATATATGTCCTTCAGTAGTTGGAGAGAATAAATTGAGATGCGAATGCAGCCTACTACTGGAAAAGAAGCCAGAAAAAATCCCRTTCAAAGTCAGATTTTTTCTGACTTCTTTTCCAGTAGTAGGCTGCATTCGCATCTCAATCGATTTCGATTTGTTAACTAGAATGAGCAGTTCATAACAAAATAATTTGAAAATTGAACAATGAAAAAAGAGAACACCGGACCTTTTAAGCTTGTGCATTTGTACAATCTAATCCACTATCTTTAATAGAAGATGTCGCCCTGATCACAAACTGATTTTTTTATTCAGGTGATGTGTCTCTCTCTCGTTGGCCATCGCATAAATGATTATAGGTAGCCTACCGATTTTTCGATGATATATCCCATGATGCAAAATACATGTAAACGAGGCTTACAAAATGGCGCGTGAACGTGAAGGTAGAAAGATTGGAGGAATGCTTTTGAAAAAAGGCTAATAATGCAGTCTGTTCCAGCGGCTTCTGCTAGCCATTGCCCTAGTTGTTTTCATGATGTCAGAGTGTTGTAAAGACCTATTTGCAACGTTAGAGAAATGTACTTGTCGCTATTTTTACACTATGAAAAATGATTGATTTTCCATATCAAGTGCGTCGTCCAAATGATGATTTAAAGAGGGAAAATTTCTTTCATTGCAGATGAACTGGATGATCCACTGTTTTCCAAAGATGATATTTTAACAGTAGTTTCTTACATCTTGTCTTGGCAGCAACGGTAAGCATACGAGTCGATCGACCAGTCTTGTGACTTGCCCTCGTGGGATGTTAGAGAGGAAAAGCTCGAAAAGCTTATGTCATTGATTAAAGTCTTCAAAATCTCACAACCTTTTTCATTGCTAGTCAGTGTAAATGTGTCTTCAGAGACCAGCTGAATCTCTCTCGGTTGGAAGATCAACTTCAAATTCTCATACATACCGCTATTGAGAATATTTCATCTTGGTCGTCATTCCCGTCTGAAAGCCATGACGGTCACTCAACTTGGAGTTTGGCGGAGAAAGAAAAACTGTTCCTTTCTGTGGCAAAAATCTTCCAGATTCATTTTCCATTTTATCAGGCCAGGCAGATACCGCTTGTACGACAGGTCAGGAATTAGTTAATTTATAAGGCTATAGTAATAAGAAGATTATGATATTTAAACCTTATAACATGTATTTTAGTCTTTCTGTTGCTACACCAGGTTATTCAACTTTCTAAACTGTATTGTGTATATTTTGGTTAAAAAATGATGATAATCTGATAAGCAAGTTTATTCACACCTGTTTCAGTAATGTCTCAACTATCTGGATTGTATCAAGTAGTTATAAAGTTATTAGGTATATGGTTATAAGTTGTAGTAACACTAATACAAGGACAAACAGGCATTTACAGCATACCATTTGATATTGAGCAAAAATTGATGGCACATCAATCAGTGTTCCTGTTGTTAGAGTATTTTTTCCTACTTCATTACATATTGTAATATTTAGAAGTATGAATTATCTGGATATGAACATGTGCATTTATCTATTCTTTTTTCTTTTCTTTTTTTTGATATACTTGATTTTGTTTTTTTCTTTTCCTTTTCCAATAGGACATAACAGCGAAAGACTGCTCAAAGTACTGTGATATGAGTGTAAGTATTATCAACRTTGTTATAATAAAACGAAACCTTGCTTCAAATGAAGTTCTAAGGTTTCAATCAACAAAACTCTTGCTTTCTTCCTGATCAAACATGGTGGACTACATAATACGTTTCACACATAATGCCACTGAACATAAAAGTTAATTGTGCAACACAGGCATCCCAATAATTAACGGTAACTAACATGTTAACAAAATAATAGCGCAYTGTTAATTGTCACTAAATGCAACCCTTCCTATAAATAGAGTCTATCTATTGGGCATCCTCTCTCTGTGATCTTCTCAATACCATAGGTTTTGGTTCTTTGATTGGTTCARGAGCTTTATCAACATGGTGACTGTTGTCTTGAGGGAGTAGATCAGGAGCTTTAGTTTCCGCAGTGGGAACCTGGGTTAAGGTGGGTGCTTCCACATGTTCCGAATAACCATAAGGAGCAAGATGCTTGTTTGTCACTGTGGGTTCTCTACCATCTGGAAAATGAATGAGAGCGTAGTCAGGATTGACCTGGAGCACATCTGCCTTTTCAACCAAAGGATCAAATTTGCTATGTCGTACGTGACTTTTTACATAAACTGGACCAGGCKCAGCTAGCCAGGAAGATTGAACTGCCTGTGGACGAACGTTGTGCAAAGATCATGAAATGTTMATGTGAAGTCTCATTAGTTGCAATACATAGTTGGGAACAGATCGAGTGTAACACATCTGATAGAACCAATTGCCACTGTTCTGTCTGAAGGTTCTTTGATTTGAGGGTCATGTTGATACTACAGTCCCATTATATTGCTCAACTTGATCGTTACAGGCTGGATTATAGCTGGTAGTGCAACTTGTAGCTACAACATTGCTAGTGAGAAATTCTCGCAACCATTGACTTGTTAAGGAAGTCCCCCAGTTTGAGTACACTTAAGCAGGCATATTGAATAGTGAAAACAATGAAGTGAGTCATTAAATGAAAATTTGAGTGGAGACATCAGTACACAGAATAATGACCRGAAATTGAGAATACTTATCAACAACATTCAGGAAGTATTTGTTTTTGTTGTTAGTAGGAAGTGGTCCTTTAAAGTCAATGTTAATTTGTTCGAAGGGTTGAGTAGCCTATATAAGATGTACTGATTCTGTGTGCTGAAATGGCGGTGAAGATTGGACAGGTGTTAACAGTCCTTTTAGCATCTTCTATTGAATAGGGTAAGTTCTTGGCTCAAATGAAATCCTAGAATCAGGTAATACCAGGATGGCATCAGTGAATCATGGAGCTTGTAGAGAATCATTTGCACTGGAAGCACATGTTGTTTGTCAATACAATACAATACAATACAATACAATACAATACAATACAATAATACAATAAAGATTTATTCCAGATGCAAATGAACACTATACAAATACACATATAAAAGCAGTATAAAGCGAGATACAAAACGAAAAACATAACGAAATAGGCATCTAGAAAGGAAGTTAAGAAGGTTAGCCCTATGTGAAAACTCCCCTGAAAAATGACAGACATATAAACAAGAAAGCTAAATATATATACGTTTAAAGATAAGAGAAGAATAAAGGTAGCAGCTATAGCCACATCTGAAGCATCAACTTCTACCTCAAATGGAACACTCTCATCTATGGCGGAGACGCGAGCTTTGGCAATTATTCTCTTTAAATCTCCAAATGCTCGTTCCGCTTCAGAGAATAAGGGAAATGATTTGTAGCTTGTAATTGGTTTTATTCTGTAAGAGAAGTTAGGAACCCATTGAGAATAATAAGAGAAGAGTCCCAGACATCTATTAAGAGACTGAGTAATTTGAGGCAGTGGGAGTTCCAGCAGGGATCTCAATCTTCAGGGTTTGGACTCATAAAGCCATCTTTAATGATGTACCCCAGTAATGGAAATCGCTGAGTACAGAATACACTTTTGCTGTCGTTGAACTTAAGATTAGCCTTTTGAGCAGCTTCTTGGAATAACTTTAAGTTGGCATTATGGTCATCTTGATCTTTCCCACAGATGGTTATGATGTCGCACAGTGTAGTATGGAGAAATCTAGAGAGACAGCACCTCTGATTTAGCATCCTTAATTTGAGAACATGTGGTTAACTAACCCTTTTGAAGGTGGGCAGACAAAGGCAGCATATATCAATAATTTTAAAACACTGAGTAATGATTCTCCCTGGGACAGCAACACATACCTTTTGAATAATARTCTTTTGCTATGAGTTAACTGGATTGTGGTTAAATCAATCAATCAATAAGTAGTTATAATCCCCTGTGTTGTTTTGTTGTTTTAGGTTGGTGAAATTGCTGAAGCACTTCTGATAAACATTGCGTATTTTTGTGAAAAAGGAGGTCTCACTGCCATCCGCAATGCCTTCCATGAGACAGGCTCTTTGCCTTTTCATGTAGCACATCTTCTGATAAGTATTGTTTGTCAGGTTAGAAACTACAATGGAGTATCCAACTCTGTGTTTTTTTTACAGAAATCTTACCATAACATGTTTTTTTTTCTCTTTCCAGCTACGTGTATGGTTTAGTGTCCAGGCAATTGTGCAGTACATTGTTCCACTCAGAGGTCCAGTTATCAGGTATATTGAAGTGAATTGATACCTGTAGATATATGCCTAAGGAAACATACTTGTGCTCATTGCATTTAAATAATGSTGAATGGATAATTTAGCTTTAGCCCAATGAAGTTATTATGATATTTTGTAGGTACCTCTGTCAACTCTCTGATAAGGATTTAAGACAGCAGGATGGATGGGCAATGGCTGATTCAATGTGGAATGGAGTGAAAGGACCTGCTGATTCAATGCCAATATTTGATAGCTTTACATTGTAAGAACTCTTTGTGAAATGACCACTAGTTGAATCATTCAATAATGTAAGTTTGCTTTACAGAGACAGCATGGATTTGGCTTTTAAATACTTCACTTCCTCAACCCTAACAGTCCGTCTAGCAGGCCTTAGTCAGATAGCAGTAAGTAGTTATTTTTGGTTCACAGAATAAATGTTTGTACTTGTAAATTTATGAAGTATGTTCATYTATGTAAAGAATCAAGTGCATATGTTCATGGAAATCTTTCAGACCAGTGCAGTTGGCAAGGGTGACAGGTAAGATTGAAAGCAATCACTCAAATATAATAGTCTAAGTAATGTCAACAGAGATGTATCCAGGATTCATCATTGGAAGTGACCTTGCATGCACAAATTTCATATCACATGACACCAACATGACTTAACTATGAATTGTTACCATATGAAGATCTTTACAATGTCTTTTATTTTCCTTATTCATATTATATTTCATGTAATACAATCAATTTATGACAACACAAAAGAGTCATGATAAAATAAGAATAAATGGTCATTGCATAAATGGGCAGTTTTGCATGCTTTAATTCACATCAATTTTCTTTAGGTATTTTAAATGAAGGTCTATGTAGTTGGTACATTGTTACATGTATTCTGGTTCTAATGATTGTTGGCTAAGATAAAAATCTGTAATTATGTATCTGCAAGAGTATTCATATTTAGATTTGTTTTCTTTCAATTCACACATTTCACCACATTCTTTGAAATCTCAATTTCTAAATAATCAATTGTTTGTACAAATTTATTTTATAATAGCATAAACAGTGAACTTTCGCAGTGGCTGGTTGATAATAATGTCATTGAACACCTGTTTGGACCAAATCTTCATGTTGAGGTATACTTTCTCATGTCCTTCTCAGAATACATACATGAAATGATCATGAAGGATCATGCCATGTGACTTCAAGAAGCTGGCAACCAGCTAAATCTGGCATTTATTTTGACGTTTAGGATGTTTGCTTTTGACAAATTACAGTTGTAATGCTTGTCGACCCTTATGATTCACATGCATGTATAGTTACTTTTCAAGACCAACCGCCTACTTTTAAATTTAATGCAACTGTGGAGTGTCCTGATTGATTTGGAAGCTCAGGCATTAATGTGAATGACTGTATACACCCTTTTATGTGAATTGTCAATATTATTTACAGATTCATGTACAAATAAAGCAAATGTTGTTCTTTGTTTAAGCTCTTGAAACAGTCTCAGATCATCCTCAACTATCTTGCACAAGAGACTTGTATTACTACTCAACATCTAGATTGTATATGGGCTGCTGCACAGGTATGCCTTGCATGTTTGTCATTATCGGTCTTTTTTTATTCTTTAATTGGAAGGTGATGATAAATAGAAAAATTATAATTTGTAGAATAGATTAAGCTAACAATACTTAATAACCTGTCTGGGAAATAAGTATTGCTCGCTGTGGACAAAACAGCCTGAAACACTGAAAACAAGACCAAAGTACAAAAATATGGGACCAGATTGTGGCATGGAATTACCAATGTTAAAAGAACTAGTTTTACAAATGGTCAATCTTGCACTCTTTTGTCACTTATTCATATCTAAAATAATTTGTTGTTGTTTCACTGACAAAGGCTCTAAGTGTTGACAGTATGGAGTATGGAAAATCCCTCTTTTTTCTTGCAATACACATGTATATCAGCACTAATCATATCTTTTCAGCTAAAACATGCCAGTCGGTATGTCCATGATTTACTGACTGTCTTGACCAAACACCTTGAGATGTCTTCCATCTTATATCTACTGGACTTGGTATCTAGATTGCATCCCTCTATGCACACAAAGCAAACACTATTCCTGGCTTCATTGCTGCTAAGAATAATTTGGAGTTCTGCCCTGACTCCAGAAGCATCAAAGTCTTGTGTTGAACATGTAAATAGTCCAGTACACGGTTGTGTAGATAATGGAGGTAGGTCAAGGCAACTATATGAAATGAGAAAATAAACATGAAGTGTATTACAAGGAACTCATTGTATACTCTGTACCCTGATTACCAATAGCATATTGTTGAATATACAATATTTGTGTTTGGTTGAATTACTGTTAATAGTTGCACCTTTCTGACCACATGTGCCACTAGGCTCATGTGGAACTGGCATGGTGCTACAATAAACAACATGATCAACACCTCTCTTGTATGGATTGCACAGAGAAAAAGTATGGACTTGGGGACATTCTCTTTTTAAATGATCAGGTCAKGTTTAATGTGTATTTGTTTTCAGGTGCCACATCTGCTGCATTAGCAGCAGCAATGCAGAGAAAGTTTCGACAACATGGAGGAAGCATGAGCCAAAGTAGCAGTAGAAGTAACAGTTTAAGTGAAATCAGCATTGATGGTGATCAAAGAGAGGAGTCTCAAAGAAAATTTATAGAGTAAGGACAAGTAATTGGCTTTAAATCATGCAAAAACTTGTAGATCTGTCTGCTATTGGGTAACCTTGATGTAAATATGTTCTAAGTAATGTTGGTCAAAATATCACAAAAAAGTTCCTATTCGTAGCTCTTTTTACCAAAATGATGAGTGATATAGCTACTGCTATCCCKGAATTAACATCCACCTTGGTAGAATATAGCATCAAGAGAATAGAGCAAAGATCTGCAGTATTGAATGAACATTTAATGTCTAATGTCCTCTAACTTGTAAATCTAATGTGTCTTATTAATGCCACCTTTGAGTAGGGGAACTCCAACCAGGAACACTTACTAGGTAATACCAACCAATCAGAAATCATTAAAACCAGACAAAGGAACTAACAAGAGAATTAACCAATTAAATGATTGAGGAGTCATGCTCATTGTGAGCTTGAAATGAAGGCTAAAATGTCATTGACCAGCAGTTCTCAAAGAATMTGAGGTCCTCACTGTGATTTATCAAGTGTTAACAAGAGAATTTCTTATTCTTTTGATATTGATTCCTGTAGGCTTCAAACTCAAGATCTAGAAATGGATGTAGCTACCTGCGAGCCTTCCGTTCCTGGAAACTTTGACACACCTCACCAATATAAAGATATTGATAGTAACAGTTGTACCAACAGCCATGCAAGCTCCTTGTCTGACAGACGTGACTTAGAAGACTTTGATGGGGAGGATGTAGATGACGACCTAAGCCAACTCAAAGCAGTTGCTGCACTTCGAAATGTCCAGCATAGTCACCATGGAACGGAGAAGGGGTTTGACCTCACTACTGTTTGCCAGGAAGGGAAAACACTCTTGTGGGATTTATTGCAAGATGAAAATGCTGTGAGATAATATTCCATGTGTATTTGACAATAATGTTATTTTTTCTAATTGCAATATTTTTTTAATAAAGATTCATTTAGAAGATGGTCTAATCCAGGAAGCAGAAAAGTTGCTTTGTCAGTTGATCTGTTATACAGGAGAAAAGAAAATAAGGATGACATTTATTGAAGGTTGTGTAGCTAACCTGGTTAATGAAAGGTAATATTGAAAGTAATCCTTAAACATAAAAATCTTGCATTTATTGAACAATATATCCTATCAAGCACAGTTCTACTATTTTATCTGATTTATGTTTATCAACTATTTATGATTCTAACTTAGCTTGTTATTTATTGTGTGATAATGTTATTTTATTTTATATTAGTCTTTTGATTAGTTTATGATGGTATTTCTTTATTTTTTGTGCCAGGTCAGTAGTAATGTCTCTTCAGCTTCTGCCAAAGTTGTTCAGTTCTTTCCAACAGTATGTTAATAACAGCTATGGACCTCATTGGGTTACAAAGTGGACAGTTTCAGAACTAGATGTGATGGATTTATTTTTCAAAAACCTTGAGGTGTATATGGCTAATGTAGCTAACAAGAAAACACCACCATGTGCATTGTACAGCCACAAAGAGGAGGTTCAAGCTAGACTTCAGTTCCTTTCATCAATATATTCAAATGAGCTTTCCAAGCCTGAATTTGGTAAATAGAAATAATTACTAATTACATCACAGTATGATCATACATAGGGAAAATGTACCAAATATAAACAATTACTAGCAAGTGTAATCAGCAAGACCAAAGCCCTAAACCAAAGACAATGGCTGAATTCACAACTTTCTTTACCCAGGTTCAGTGACCATGAACAAAGCATTCAACTGTCAGGGAACACTGATCATAGATCATTTCTTTTATGTTCACTGTACCATGACGCCTTTGTAGCTTTGTTTGTGGTCACTGAACCAAAGTATGGAAAGTTGTGAATGCACTTGTCTTGACCTTGATTATTTCATCACAAAAAAAAGCAATCCAATAATTGACTCCAGCAAAATAAGTCATGTGAAAGGGGGATTTTCAAGTGTTAAGATGCTATCAAATTTAAGTGATGCCCAGGTCACAAAGCAGGAAACATGTTTGCTGCTGTCCTCAAAAGATCAAGAGTGCCAAGTCATGTCAAAATTTGGAGTTTTTCAACAAAATTATTTTTCTGACAAGCTTAAAAAGGACTTTTGGGTTTTTGCCCAATTCTGCCTTTGCAATTGCAAAAAAGTCCATTTTCATTGGAATGGATGACTCCTATCAATGCTTGTTTATTTTAGGTCTTAGTCTAGACCAAGTAGATACATTATGGTCAACTTTGGTCAATGACAAACAGTGTTCAGATGAAGCTTTAGAATGGTTTGTACAGCAAGCACAAAGTAAAGATCTACATGCCCTCAGTCTTGAGGCTCTTAGTTATATCTTTACTGAAAAGGTATTATGAGTTATTTCTTTGATGTACAATATTTACTGCCCTATGCACAGAAGTTAGTGTTACATCCCTAGGACTAAGTAATAAACAAAACAAAGACTTTTCTACTTTGCTTATTGTCTAAACTGTAGTGTATCAAGCCAGAAAAACAGAGCGGATTCATAGAGCCTTGCATTTATTCCTGAGTTTACATCCAACTGACTCTTGCACAATAATCCAGTTTCGAATTCTCCAATGCTCTGTGTTAGCCTCATTTGTGCGMAAAATATTCGTAATTGTGAGAATAAAAGTGTGAGATTTCATATCAAATCTATTGTCTTTCTTTTCAAATTCCATGCGTTTTCTCGGCCTATCAATGAAACAAAAGAATATGTTACTTCGTTTTGAGGCTAACACAGAGCAAACCAGAACTCGAAATTGGAGTATTTCACACAGCATTTATACTAGAATAATTAATTACACGGAAGTATGTATTCCCTAGTGGATACATAGCATAAACAATGCAATCAGGATCCAATATACAAATCAACTTATTGTTGATACCATGTAATACATATTATGTATAATATTATATATTATAAATATATTATATATCATTAAATACTGTCTGATGAGTGCGTAGCACGAAACTCGGAGTAACAGCAAAAATCTTGCCTCTTTGATATTATATATATAACTAGCTCTACACTTTATGTGTATTGAGCACTCTTTAATGGGATCAGCTACTTCCTCATACAATTATATCTTAAATTGTAATGATATATCAGGTAGTCATCTTTGTATCTGAAGACTATGTGAAGTCTCACAATATCACTGCAATTTAAAAATATTAACTGTATCATTGTCTCTTACTGTCTGGTGATCATGTAAACGAGAAACTCAGAGTTGCAGTAAAATGGGTATTCTTTATGTTTTGTCTTTAATTCATATTTGCTCTGTTATTCACATTGAGCACTTTCTTACCAGCTGATACAAAACACATATCATTTATTAATATCATTTATTTATTAAGGATAATTTCGACTAGACTGATGGATTGTTTGCATGATAATCAACATATTTCAATTGAAAGTTGTTATTCTATTGCAATAAAAACATTTAGTAMATTTTGATGTTTCTTATACCAGCTTCCATTAATTGGTCCTCAAGCATTTACCATGACAGGACTGACATTGTTACAGCAGCTCTTCAAGATGTTTGATAACTCGAGCATGAAACCAGAAAGTCCATCTACTGTKTATGGTATTGATCAGTTATGGAATATTGCTGTCCAGGCACAGTCCCTGGAAGTTAGCATGGCAGCAATTAGCTATTTGAACACTCTCTATATCAATGGTAAGACTGATGGCTGTTATTCTCTAGAGTTGATGTTTTATTGTGCATGTCTTGTACCAGTGTACAAAATAAGAGAAGTTTTAGAGAGAGAGTAATTAGAAGGTCATGTTTTGAGGCAAAAATAATTTGTGGTGAGGAGGAGGGGGGAGAGGATTTGTACTGAGTTTCCATTTAGATAAAAAGCAACAGAATGCAGTTTGCACTACCTTTAACTATTTCATATAATTTCAATTTTTTCCAGCTGAAGGAGGAAGTCTGAAGTTAGAAGATGAATTTGTTATTCGATGCATATGTAGTATAAGAGAGGCAACTAAAGATATCTCTTCTGTGAGTGTGATCTTAGCACTTTTCATGATATTGYTTAAAATAAACCATCCCTTTAGTATTTGAACAGTTGTGAATCTGAATTGGTGCCATTGAATACTTTTCTGCATTAGAAAATATAGAAATATCTCAAAATACAGCAAAGAAAGATTGTTTTTTCTATCTTATTGAWTAGAGCAAAAATAGCTAGGTTATTGGAGCAGCAGTTATGCAGCAATGATTTACAACCTAAAATCTTATTGATTCAGGAATTTAAAAACAACAAGCTACAAATTATAGAGAGAGGAATAACACTTTTAAAGAGCCACATAGAATCATTCAAAAAAAGGCAAGTCATTAGAGTATTTCTTAAAGGGTTTGCATTAGATGTTCATGCTGATGATTATTTATGACATTACAGGTTTGCTTTCCATCTTCGCTTGTGGTTACTTGATGGCCAAGGAATAACCTGTCATCGACAAAAGATGCAACACACATCAGAGAAGCATTATCCTATAAGGGTGATGTGCCAGCCTGCTGGCCTGTCTGACAAGGTTTGTATCAATTGTTAGGGAATTACTTTTTTGATACTACAAATAGCAGGAGAATAAAATGTGTATTGTCTAGCCTAGTGCACTGGTCTCTGACCATGTCATCTTTTGTGTGATGGATACGGACCGAAGCCATAGTGCTAAAAATCAACCATGTTCTAAGCATGTCTTGTATTAATTAAATATAAGATGTGTATATATGATACAATGTGGTAATAGTCTGTTTATTCATTGATTCTTTTATTTATTTATTCACATGTAGTCATACAGTTATTAATACTCAATTTTTGTTTTGGTATGACATMAAAATATTTACTAATGAATGTTGGACTCTACTCTCTTCTGAATAACTGGAATTTCATTTTCTGTAGGGAACTTTTAAAATGCATTTATCTGATCTGGTGTCAGAGTTGAGAGCTGAAGTAACCTTCTGGTGTCAAAAGCTACAAGAAAGAATCAAGTCAGAAAACCAAGGAGAGGGAACTTCACAGCATTCCCCTTTGTCTCCCTTCTCTCCACAACTACATCCTCCTTTTAGGTTAATCTCACAAGGGCATGAACTAACACCTGATCTTGATGAAAAGACTCTTGCTGATGTTGGTTTTAAAGATTTGCAGGTATTGTTTGAAAACTTAAATGTTGATCTGGCTGATCAGTACATTGCAATATGCTGTCTGTTAATTTGGTTTGATCTGTTCCTTCTTGTGAGAAAAGAATGACAGCCTCAAAAGCTGGAAATGCTGTGTTGTTTTCTGTCATTATCATTAATCACCTGAAGTTTGAAAACGAAAAATAAAATGAAAAATCCAGTTAATACATTGAATATTGAACTATTCGGGGGGTGTGCTTCATGTCTTTTGACTGTAACTTTATTTCTTTTTTTAATACAGCTTGTGTTTGTATCAGTTGGTGCAATAAGAAGGGAAAATTATCACAGTGACAATCAAATACCTTCTTCTTCCCTACCCCCTCCTAAGTGGGACAATGCGCCAATGGTGATTCTGCTTCAGGACAAGCATTTTGATGAACTGTTTTCATTTCTTGAAGTCTTTGATAAACTTAATGTTAAAAAAGAAAGCAGTGAAAGCAAAAAGGATGATGAAAGAGAAATAGATCTTGGTGATGGTACGGATAATACACCTGATCAAAGTCAAGCTCAGCATTTATGTCAGCTAATGTGGGAACTCCTTTGTCTTTTACCCACAAACCCTTCAGTATATAACAGATTAAAGTATTTTGAGAAGTTCCTGACATCTGGAGAAGATGAATGTTGCAAATCGGATTCATATCAAGAGTTTTTAGTTCCTTGGAGCAACCTACTAAATCCTCTTCATCCGCATAAACTTTTATACTGTCTTCAAGTTGTTGATCTAATCCACTTCTCAAGTGGGGAAAAGCATCTGCAATTATCTCATTCCTCTAAGTCAAGCAGTGAGTCATCAGATACCTCTGATGAAGAAAGTGAGAAATCTGCACATGTATTAACTTGGGGATCAAGATTTGTTGAGTTTGGAGGACTTCAACATCTGTATAACACATTAATGTATGGTCATCTTGAAGTTGGTAAATGTGGAGACTTATGGACGCCTTGGCAAGAAGAATGCCTAGCATATTTATTGAAGCTAATTTGTGAATTTGGAACAATCAAAAGTGATGATGATGAAGATGAGGTTTTTAGCTCAACAGATGCTGATCAACTTGTGCAGCATTTCCAACATAGGGATGGAAAGTTCAGAGTACGTTATAAGAGTACCGACAAAGAGGAAACTATTTTTATTAAGAGTTTATCCCAAGTAAGTATTCTCAAAATATCATATGATGAATGTAATATAATAATGATTTGTACATGTATTGCATGCTAAATGGATTGTTTATAATGATAGTAACAGACATGAACTTGAATGATTTCAGCAATTGATGGCCATGGTAGATGTAGAACCATTGTTAGATCAACTAATAGCAATATCCCAACAGTCAACCCTACAGATCCATACAGGTGTACAGAAAGGAGTTAGGGGAGGGGAGGGTAAGAAAATGATTATTTTGTAATATTACTCATGATTGCAAGACAATGAGTGCTTGGCTGTTTTGGAATACAAATAATGCATAATAAGCTCAATATTTCATTTGCACAAATCTTCTAATGATATTCTTCACCCAGTGAGTTATGGATGCACATTCATTTAGTGTCATTCATTAAAATGTCTGATTTGTCTCCAACATGAATGTCACTCACTAAATGCTTGTATAAAGAAGTGAAAATTAAGGACTGCAACTGCCTGTAATATGGTATGCCCAAGATAACCATTTATAAATTCTCACAATTCATGCATTATTGACGTTAGTAAACCATTTTCCCCATGATGAATGTTTATGCAGTCAGTGTATGATTACTGTCTGTGAAGTGATTTTATTATGATTAATTAAACTAGACTGTTCATGTTTCAGTTGTTCATAATGCAGTGTCTTTGTTGGTATCATGGGCTTACACAGATTCTAATGTAGTTGGTGCTTTATTAAACCACAAGAATTTTAAACCTTGGCTTAAGCAGCTAGTTCTCCTTGCAAGGGAGGTGAGAGACTATATTCATATAAGTGTTATGTAGCACTTCATGTATTCATTTGATAATAAAGACAACCTTTCTATTTCTAGTCTGTTGTGCGATGTGAAGCCTGTCGTGGTCTTTACAAGTTAAGCCTGATTAAGGATACATCCTGTTTGATGGAGTTGATGGATGCACTTTTAGAGTTTCTACCACTAGCACAGAGTAAAGCTACTGCTACCAGTCAATGCAGAGACTCTGATTCAACTGCACAAGAGTATTTTTCAATACTATGCAGACTTGTTGATGGTCTTCCAGTTAAAGAAGGTAGCAAGGTATGTTACKTAATCATTAGACAAAATAATAACAAGAAACTGAGAATTCAAGAATTCAGTTTATGATCTCTTAGTCCAACAAGGACTGGAAAATTGGGTCACATAATAGACCTTTAATCCTGATAAAACACAGCAATTTTATTAATAAGTTCTATAAAAGAATTAATTTTCAAATTTATCAGCTTTTTATTGCACACCAACACACAAGCAAAGGTTTTGATATTGCATTATTGATCTTTGCTTGGTTGTGAATCTGTTTACCGACATGCATAATGCAGCTGTAGAACAATTCAACTAACATGCTTAGGTTTGCTATGCATATTGTTTTCATTGATATTATTTTTTCAGATTTTTTTTCCATAATGATTACATTTTCTGGCAGTTGGAGTTCTAGGATGTTCTAGCATGTCTTGTTTGTTATATTAAATTTTGTCTGCGGCTTGCATTAATGTATCCTCAAGATAAAAAATGTGTTATTGTCCTAGTATAAGCAACACATGAACAACATTCTAGTAATTAATTATCTGYGATGTCTTTTATAGGATCATGGCATTGACCTTAACTCACTGGCTAATTTGCTGTCTGACTATATCATGAAAAGGTACATACTAATGTCTGCTGGTTTATCTTGTAACAAAATAAAATGTACTGATTGATTAAATATATGTTAGCAATTCTAGCTCTAAGAGTCATTCTCGTCAGGAAGAGGAAGGACTTTGTGGTATGCTTAAGTTGTGTACAGCAGTCATGAGGCATAACCCTCTTTTCAAATACTCTGAGAAGGGACTGGTAAGTACCAACACCTTTATAGACAATGATCAACCAATCACAGGGCACTTATTAGGAGCAATCTTACTAGTAAATAAAGAAATTATGTTAATGAAAATATTTTTAATGTTCATATTTCTTTTAATGGAATTTTCATTGTTTCAGCATAAAAAAAACTACATAATATTTCTTATTATTACATTGTAATGGTTAATCTCAWATTTTTCACAGGCATTTTTACATGATATTTTTTCAACCTGTCTGTTTGATTTGCCAAGTGATTGCTATGACAACAAGGGCATACCATTGTGCAAGTATAAGGTATGTTTCCACATATTACTTASTTTAGAGGTTATTAATATCACAAGTCAACTTTTTCATTAATACATGAAAYGAAGGGATAAAAAGCAACCAAAATATCTGTTAAAAAATTTGTAGCAAAATTTAAAGTACTAGTTTTTGTTAAGTTATTTTGTTGTACTTCTTACCTATTTGAAGTAATGTCATTCTATACCTGACATGCTATACTCACTGCTTTGCCATGTACTTTTAAGTCATCWAGGAAGTCAGCATATGATCTGCTGTTAGAGATGGTCAAGGAATCTAAAGAGAACTTTTTAGAGCTGCAGAAACTGATGGCCAGGCATCATAGACCSGGTAACTCTCGCTTTCAAGGCAAGTGTCATGCAGTGTTTTTTCTTATTTCACTAATGAGGTCTTGATTTCTGGGATTATAAACATGAAACTATTAGTATCATGCAAAAACATCCCTATTGTCACAATTCATGCTCTGATGTGAATAAGACATACACACTCAACCATTGCTTAAACATCATTTCAAGGACAATTAGTTAATAATACAGAATGTGATATGATGAAAAAAAAAACAAATAAAAGAATTTACATTGAACACCCACATAAAAAGTAAAAAAAAACTTGCTATAAACTACCTTGTAGTCTAAAACACTAACACTATTGTAATATAATACCAATAACCAGGCTGGTTGTATATCTGATTGTTCAATGTCAACAGTCACACATAACCATGGTAACAATATTGAGGTACAATTCTAAAACAGTTTGGAAAATTTCAACATAGATTGATTTCATTTTTGTAGGTGGAAGAAAGCACAACTCTTATGGCTGGCATTACTGGCCTCATGAGAATGAAAAAGCAACATGTGGTCTTGTGGGAATAATCAATCTTGGAGCCACATGTTATATGGCATCATGTATCCAACAGTTGTTTATGATGCCAAAAGCAAGAGCTTCTATCCTCAATGCAAAGGTATAATTGATATCGCATTATTAGAGCGGATTTCGTATGAGTGGGACACCGTTACCGCACGGTTACCGCACAGTTACSGAACCTGGCTGCACAATTTTGGTGAACCAATGGGGCACTAGAATTTGGTTRCAGTACGATTACGGTCACAGTACAKTACCGTCCGTTTCCCACTCATATGAAATCCGCTCTATAGGGTATAATTATAAGACACATTAAATGACAAAAAGAGAATGTGACAGGAGACATTAAATGAAGAAAGAGAAAATGACAGGAAAATARAATAAAGGAAGAAAGTAATTCCCAGTGAATGGATATGACATTTGGCTGGTATTGGAAAGTTGAAAAGTTKTTTTCTCAACACTATAACTACCACCTGATAATTACATGACTTACAGTTATAGATTGTCTTACACTGATTGATTGGTGTCATTCGTGTTTTTTTTTTCAGATGACTGGTGAAGCTAGAAATGATCATTTCTTGAAAGAACTCCAAAAAATGTTTTGCTTTTTAATGGTAAAAGTGTACAATGGCACTTTGCAATGAGATCTTTGGTTTGATTTGGTATCTTAAAATATTATTTTCTTTCAGATGAGTGAGCGCAAAGCACATAACCCTCGTTCATTTTGTCGCACTTACACAATGGACAAACAACTGATAAATACAGGTGAACAAAAGGACATGACAGAGTTTTTTACAGACTTGATCAGCAAACTAGAAGATATGTCACCATCACTGGTAAGTACATCACTGAGTGGAGAGACCTCATGAAGGTCAAATCAAATAAATAACATGATGATACTTATCCTTTATAAACAGAGAAATTTGGTCAGGGAATTGTTTTGTGGAGTCATTACAAACAACGTAGTGTCCTTGGTATGTAACAACAATATGCAAAGTTATAAAACTCATCAATATTCATAAGGCAAAATACAATAGAAATCATAACTCATGAAGAGATTTGTAAATCCACATACAGATTCTTATTCATTTGCATAAACTTTAACTCTGATTTTCTCAGTAAGATTTAATTTTTATTCAAAAGTTTTTTTAAAGCCTGAGCAAGTTAACCTCAACGTTTCATAAGTAAGCTTTTACAAATGAATAGTGCTATGACTTTTACTAATATGCATAGCATTAATATACAGTAGTGGAACCCTTACGACCACCTGCTTAATCACAACGGCCATACCATTCTTTTCAGTTAATATGACCACCCTGTAAATTTGGCCACTTTTCTGTGTTCCTTCTGTGGCTGGATTAACAATGTTCCACTGGTATTCAATATTACCTAAACTTAGTATAGTGTTGKTTTTTTGAATGTTTCCAGGACTGTTCACATGTTAGCAAGACTAAAGAAGAGTTTTATTCAGTCAGATGTACTGTGGCTGATATGAAGAATCTCTATGTATGTATAAAATTAGCACATTTTTTGGATTATCTTTATGGCTCAATCTCTTTGTGTTTTAGGAATCGCTTGATGAGGTGACCATTAAGGATACATTAGATGGTGATAATATGTATACCTGCTCACAGTGCTGCAAGAAAGTCAGGGCAGAAAAAAGGTACCAAGAAAATACTCCTTTTAATCTCATTGGCTATGCCACTATTGGCATAGCTATTTGTGGCTATGCCACTATTGGCATAACTATTTGTTAGTGGCTATGCCACTATTGGCATAACTATTTGTACCATATCAAGATTCAAATAAAAGTTACTCAATTTCAGAGCATGTTTCACTGTTTTACCGAGAATCCTGTGTTTTAACACAATGAGGTACACATTCAACATGGTAACTATGATGAAGGAAAAAGTCAACACTCATTTCTCATTTCCTCTTCAACTAAATATGGCTCCTTACTCAGAGGAGTATTTAATGGGAGACAGGCCAGATCAAGGTATGATAACACACATAACTTCAAGAACATTTCAGTAAAATGAGATAATTCAATTCATATGGTTGAAGTATCTGTGTCTGATCACTAAGTTCAGGTCTTGAACTTTTGCCAGCATGGGTCATGGGTCGAAACAATTTGTTACAAATTTATGCTAGTATTCCTTCTCTTATCAAAAGTATTATGTTGGTAGTGAGTATTTGATTGAAATACTAGAATGAAGTTGTACACTATACTGTGAGTACACTATACAGTACTCTCTCTGAGGCAGCTCACACTAGCTTACACTAGTTTCCACAATATGGGTAATAAATTCATTATTAATTTTTGTAAACAATGAATACTGATATCTTCTCTCTTTAAGATCCTGAGAAAGACACAGACTATTGGTACAACCTAATAGGTGTTGTAGTGCATACTGGGACAGCAGAGGGAGGTCACTACTACAGTTTTATTCGTAACCGTTCTAACTCACAACAAGACCAGTGGTTCTTGTTTAATGATGCAGAAGTCAAGCCTTTTGATCCATCACAGATTGCTAGTGAATGCTTTGGTGGAGAAATGACAGTAAGCATTGTATTTCTGCAGTTAGATATGCATTAGAGACAAACCACACAGGTTTTTTGCCAGACTAATAACAAACCATTTATAAATGTTAATTATATAAAATGATTAATWAGTCGGAGTATATTATAGATATATCTTATCATAAACAATAACTATTGGTGAAGTGTGGGCTCTTCTTTTGCAACTTGAATTCAGGAAATAAAATTTTAGTCATTCACTGCTGACAATGTTTTGTTTTTATCAGACCAAAACATACGATGTTGTATCAGAGAAGTTTATGGATCTTTCTTTTGAGAAGACTCACAGTGCTTACATGCTTTTCTATGAGCGTAACAGTCCAAATACACAAGTTGAGGAAGTGCCACCTGTAACCTTGAGTCCTGATCTCGCTGACTGGATATGGCAAGATAACATCCAGTTTCTACATGACAAACACATCTTTGATACAACCTACTTCAACTTTATTTGGCTACTTTGCAGCAGTATTCCTCCAACACTTCCTGACAACCAAGAARTTATCTTRTCTAATATTAAACTCAGTACATCATTCTTGTTGGAAACTCTTGTTCATTCAAAAGAGAAGCTTTTGTTAAAGAACTGGTCTGAATTATTGGTGGGTCATCTTGAGAGCAGCAGCAGTGCGTGTGAGTGGTTCTTGAATATGCTGTCTGTTGATGATTGGTGGCTACAGCAGATGTTTGTCAAATGTCCAGTGCAGACAATTAGACATGTGAGTGACAAATACCAGTGCATTTTAGTGTTTTTCTGTTCATTTTTAGACAATCATTACATCTGGTCTTTAATCATTTTTTTAATCACGTTTTTCTTATGGTTTCTATGAAGTCTTCTAATGACTKGCTAAAACCTAACATCTATTTATTWTATTCAGATGTTTGCAAGGCTTTGTGTGCATGCTATTCAAGCTTTTCGACCTTTCTACATCAATACTRATGAGAAGTAAGTRAAAAWTTGGGAAGCCAATCTACATTATTRATAGTTATTTGTATGGCGAGCAAGATATTGTCAGTTACTGGTRATTTGTCTTTATGAGAGTGAATGAGCCCAGATTGTTCAGCTGTGAGTCATGWGGAAGAATGTTAAGGCCCGTTTACACTTATGATTTTTGCAGAGCGATTCTCATGTCAATCGTCACGTAACCATTGAAAATGAAAATTTTGAAAATTCTTGAACATTGGCTGAAGACCCAGATGATCATACTACACCTTCAAAAWATATTTKTTGTTGTTGTAATTTTCAAATGTCTATTGTATTGTTCTAAATGATAGTGTAACAAATGCTGTCAATTTTCTTTAGTGAATCTGAAGCAGTGCAGATTGACAGAGGGCCTTTCTCTTATGTCATTCAGTTTATCAAAGCTATTCTTAAACTGGTAAGTTACRTTTACAACTGAGCTAACTCGACATTTTGTACACTTTTAGCCTGATGATGGTTTTGAAATAAAACCGAAATATYGCTCTCACATAATCTCCTATTCTATTCGATGTTGAATATCAACTAGAATGAATATATTTKGTATCTCATTCATCCTATTCTAACTCGACATGACAATGTAATGTATACATTTAATAATTATGATTTTCTTGTCTTAGTTAAATAATGTAAATGATAATATGAATTCTATTCCTAGCTTGATCTCCATAATATCCGTTCTCATCTCAAGAATCTATCAGAGTTGTTTGGTTTTTTGCATCAGTTTGCTTTAATTGGACAAGAAGAGGTATAAACCAGGATGATATTATTACAGTAAACTGCTTGTCATATTCGTCTATGGCAGTTATTTAATAAGTGCACTGGTCTCTGACCATGTCATCTTTTGTGTGATGGATACGGACCGAAGTCATAGTGCTAAATATCAACCATGATCTAAGCATGTCTTATTACTRATATATTATTATTATTACTATTATTATAAGATGTGTAATTTAAAATGGAACAGTCTTTTTGAAAACATGTCATGTCATTTGTCTTCCATTATGCAATGTTCAAAGAGAAACAAGTGAAAAATAATAATAGGCACACAATAACTATTAACATCTTCTGCTTACTTTCAACATCCTTCATGGATATAGCAGAGCAGAATTTTACTCAGATCTGTGGATTGCATGTATAATTAGTTTTATTAACATACACTAGAAGCTTAAGAAGAATTTATTTGTGTTACAGCGCGAGTTCCTATTAACTATAGAAGCCATATCAACTATGATTCACTTCTATCTAAAGACCAAGACACCTGAAACAGTACGTACCAATTTGTTGATTTGCATGAGTACTGAGAAGTCACTGATAAAAAGTTGATGGCACAGGAAATGTGTCTTATATTATACTGCCTTTGTTATCAGATTGTTGAACCAAGTACAGATGATGATGATGATGACATAGATGATGATGATGATGACATTGTTCCTCTTCTGCCTGAGGACAAGTACCGTGGAAGTTCRCTAGAGAAAATGGTATCCTTGATTGCTGTGTTGGTTGAAGCATCGTGGAGAGAAAGGTGCTTTAAATTCCCTGCTTTTTATCATGTATTTCACATTTACATAGAAAAGTCCATGGGTATAGACATTAAAGACTGTTTTTCAGCTAAAACTTCTTAAATGTATATGTTAAGATATTATTTGAATTAATCTCCACAGGCAATTAAATCTCTCTAAAAATGATATAGATGCTCTTGTGGGTGGCAAGGAGATCAAGGTATGGAATTSCACATTAATGATATTGAAAGATAACGTCTAAAAACTAAATTGCAAAATGTAAAAAATGAATTAAAGATAAACATGCATTGTATTTTGACCTTAATTCCACTAACGTTATCAATGCAGGGCTTGACATTCTTGTTTCAAGTAATTAAAGATAATGTTAATCTACGACATACAGCAAACCTTGTGTTGAGCCTTTGTAGATATAACAACAAATTAGCTGAAAATGTAAGTAATAAAAATGGAATTAAGAGTAACAATAACAGAAGCAAAACCTAGTGTGACTATAATTGTGCTGTTTTTAGATTGTTTCAATGCTGATTGCTTCTGTACAAAAGCTGCCATCCGAGGTAGGTACTTTGTGTGATGTTATCARGTGTAATAGCAATAATCTTGCATTGCATTGGCCGCTTACCAGATGTTCCTGTCTATGATGCATATGGAACGAAGCCAGTGCTAGATATCTATTACCCAAGCAAAACATATCCAGTGTTRATACTGGATAATGTAATGTAGTGTGGTAACATTTTTAGCTAGCATTGATAATCGGGATTATATGTTTGTGACAAAGTGATTAATGTTTTTTACTGTTCTAGCAATCACAGGCTTTTTTTAAGCTTCTGTCAATGCTTACTGAGCTSCAAGGGGGTCCACCAGGTTTACCATCTTTCACTAACCTTACCTTGTCAAGAATATGGGAGGTATGCGCAAGCACATTGTRCATACATGTAGAAATTGACATTTGATGATTTTATGATATTGACATTTTCGAGACATTTATTTGTTCTTGACAGTGCCTTGTGTATTTATCTAGGCTGCCGAGTACAACGCTATGCTCTGTCTCGACTGGCTAACTCTTATTGCACCAAAGAACAAAATGGTAGGTTGARCCTTCATTATTTTTCCTATTGAGCAGTGCAAATGATCTTTATACTTCCAGGCTCATCAGTGGGTATTAGAKAACATGGATAAGTGGGTTGAGAAGTACCTCATTGCTGATAACAATCCTCGCATTAGAAATGGTAAGTTGTTGTTAATTATTATTTACCGGTATAACGTTTAAAATTATTCTGTTGATATTAATTTATTATCAAACTTATTAAAGTAAAGGGCATAGATTCCAGGGCCAAATCAGTTTTTTTTAGTTTCTGGCCCTGGTTGCATTTATATCTGCACTCTTCAGTCTAATCTGATCACGTTTGTCTATTGAATAGCATCGGCGTGTCTTTTGGTCTCACTTGTACCYAGTAATCACTTTCGTTTAGGATTTAGGTATGGTATTACTTTTCTGTTATTGTTATTTTGCTAACTTAAGTCAGCATAAAAACGTTGTACATCCTTAATTAAACAGGACAAGGAGCTTTACTACTCCTCACAAAGACCTTCAGGTAAAATAAAGTGTTTGTTGTCATTAATCCATTTTTGTGTAATATAGTAGTTGATATTTGATTTTTATGTATTTATAGCTAACCGAAGAGGCTAGAAATATCCTGCATAAGGTGTGCTATTCATGTGACCATTAAATGAAATAGTGCTTTGACAGTTTTATTTTGTATCAATACCGTGATCATTTCTATTTCAGATCTATTCTACGTTACTTGAACTGTTATCAACTGCTAGAAACTACTGTGGTAATAGACAACTTCATTTCTCTTATGCTTTGTACTCATACATCACTTATAATTACATGGGAACATTGACATTGTGCTGACTTCAGTACTCTCTTTAAAGCTTTCTGAAAAGTAATGTAAAACCACATCAGCGTGCGGAAAAACCCAGTATATACAATACTCTATGACCTATTGTGAAGACCCAGTATATACAATACTCTATGACCTATTGTGAAGACCCAGTATATACAATACTCTATGACCTATTGTGAAGACCCAGTATATACAATACTCTATGACCTATTGTGAAGAAGCCTGCATGACTGTTTATTACTGGTAAACGCTGGATGAAACTCAGGCTAATTGTGGAGAAAAACCCTACAAAGTCACGTCAAGCCACATGGACGCATATGATGGCAGATCCTTCCCATGATGATTTCTAATAATCTAGTTTTACTGTTTGTAGATCGAACGATGCAAACTACAACTAAACTGGTCAGCTTTTTTGCAGTTTTGAATTACTGCCTCGTGTCCAAGACAGAGAAAGAAATGGTAATGACCTTCCCAATWATAACATTAGCTGAGTGTGCATTAGTTTGTCTAGAAAAGACGATTATGGCATTGTATTATTATGGTTTGCTTCACCAACAAATCCTTTAGTACTAACAAGTTGGTAACCCTTCATGTTTAATAAAGTGCTTGGGCCGGATTTACAATTGATCATTTTCAACCATTCACATGAGGTTCAAAAGATGAAAGAGCGGCGGCCATGTTGCAGGAATGTGCATTAGATACTACTTCGTTGAAGTTCCTCTAGGATGGCCGCTAGTGGCGTAACTTAAAAACGAATATGGTGTATAAAGTTATACACTGCATAGATTGTGCCTGGATTTTTGATTCGCCAGTTGTGTACAAATTATTATTTTCTTTTGTTGTAGTTCACACCGTATTCTCTTGATTTGTGGAGACTATTTCATCCTCTGATGTCAGAACCCAATATTTCAGTACACCACAACAAACAGGTTTATATCACTGATTACCATCATATAGTAAAACTCTTGGAATATATATTATTCTCTTTAGTAAACCTTGCAGTCGATTATCTCCAACACACAAGGGGCACAAGAAACAATCTTTGCCTAGAATAGTCAACTTTTATTAAAAAGTTTATCTCTTTTTAGGCTCTGTTGCTGTTCTGGTTTCATTCCTGTAGAGACTGTGAGACCAACATAGCCTTTATTACTGACACTCCGCAAGTATCGTCTAACATCGCTCTCAATTATATTCTGTATGTATCAATGGTTATTGTTACTGTATGGTTGATTACATGACAAATGCACACTATATATAATGATTATATTACAATTGCAGCTCAAGTGATGAGCCCGAGGTGATCAACTTCAACCGTAAYGTTCTTCCTGCGTATTACGGATTGCTGCGGTTATGTTGCGAACATTCGCGTTCCTTTACAAGGCAGCTTGCCGTTCATTCTAACATGAGATGGGCTTTTGAACACCTTACATCACGGGTTAATCATTATCCCCAGGTATTAACCATTTCGTCATTTTATCTTTGATTACAACAAGTAATTGCATGTTTTTGTTTCGTAAAAGGCTATTGAAGAGTTGTTTACATTAATGAGGCTATTTGCTGGTCACGGTCAAATGGACTTAACTGCCGAAGAGAAGACAGCTACAGCAAACTTCAGGAAGAATACCATAATATTGTATTTGAACTGTCTTGACGGGGTTTCTCACTGGACAACTCTAGTCACGTAAGTCTTTTTTCTTTTTATTTAGGTTTGATAAATGGTTATTAGTTTAATTATTGTGATAGCTTTTCCTAGGAAATATATGTTTGATGAATAAATGTTTTTTATTCTTTGTGTCTTTTCAAGGGCATTCAAGATACTTCTACAATCAGAAGAAGATCGATTAACAGTCCTAGTGAATCAAGGTTTACTTACACTCTCTGATGTAAGTATATAATTTCCTTTCTCCTCATATTCTTTTCTTATAATGTGCTCTTCTTCCCAGGCAATCACAACTCTTCACATGATGTATCATGAGGCTACAGCTTGTCACGTGACAGGTGATCTTCGAGAGGTCCTTAATATTCTTAAAGAGGTTCTACTCTGTTCGCAAAGCCATATGAAAAAAGCAGGTAGAAATCTTTGTTACTTKTGTAACGTACGACTATTACCATGTGTTTTGCCTGGCTTATCTTTCTGCTTCCATAATGTATATATAATGTCTCAACTCTTGTTTTGACTGTCTGTCTAGCAGACCTAATTTCTCATCTGTTCTCCATACGTTTGTTTGTCAGAAGTTCGTAGTAGTATTCTTGGTTGGTCAGATAAAATGGAGATAGCGCAAAAGCTGTTATCATTGTTGAATTCCTACACCCCGAAAGAACTCCACTCGTCATGCATTGGTAAGTTCAGTTTTGGGGGTAGCGGAGAGGGGAGGGAGCTATGTTCTATTTACGTAGTCCAAAAAATTGCCGTCCAACCTCGCAAGACTCATTTTACCATACTCCGTACCCGTCCTTGACTAACTAATCTACTTAATTGATGGTTCTTTTCTTGTAGATGTGCTACGTGCCATTTTAGTGCAGTATCCGAGTGAGTGTGGCGATGTCCTTATTCCTTTCATACATAACTCACATTGCAATTGGCATCAAAGCACTCAACAGCCGATATTGGGGCCATACTTTCCTCGCAGACATACTAAAGTCATCGTTAGCAGCAAGTCTTTACCTCGTCCTACTGTCCCAGAACTCAATATGTTCCTACACCCGAGTTTCCTCGAAACACCAAAGGTCTGTGAACTAACTCTATTTTAGCTCTATACAGAGTGTTGAATGAACGAAATGCGTATGAGGTCCTACATCGTACTGACTGCTATATCGTTTAAGGGTGTTGATGAAACGTATGACAAAGCGGTATCAACTTATTATCAGCCCTACCATTTCTTTGCGGACAAGCTTATCCGTGTTGGCTTTAACCAAGATCGAGTCAGTGAGGCCTGTATCAGTCTTAGTAAGTCTAACAATTACGAGTCGTAATCGTGTATTTGCATATTACATATCTTTGCTAATTTCACCCGTAGGTTGTTTGCTGGCAATAGAAGCAATACCTTTACATTTTCACTACTTCGCAAAATTGTGGTCAGAAGTTTACCAAAAATCCGGCGAGGTAAACTTGGTGAATTATTAACTAATACTGAATGAAGGTATTGATGGATCGATTTATTTATCAGCACGCAAAGTATAAAGAATATATACAGCAACTTTGTCAACGGCAAGAATTTATTGAGGTGGGTGGAGTAGAATATTGAAATAGGATTCTGCTTGGTCTCATGTTTGTTTGTTGGTTTTCAGTACATCGATTCAATTCTCCTGGAGGAACGAGAATGCCTTAATGTTCAAGAAATATATTCCTTTTTTTGCTGTATGTTTCCCAGAGTAAGTAGATTGGAGTCGATTTAAGTGTTTTTTTCAAAAGTATATATCTAGGCTATCATTTGTTCAGGTACATGCAGTTGTGCTGAAGAACCAATGGAAGAATCTGGTTCATACACTAGTTACAGCAGTCATAGCCGACCAGCCAGCAGCCGCTGGAGCAAACGACGAAGAACTGTTACAGATAGCAAGRCGAATCACTGCGGTAAAGCATTTCCCTTTAAATTTGTTCGTTTCTATTCGTTTTATTTATTACGAAAATTTCGCTGGGGCATTTGTAAAGCTTTATTTAGGTGGTAATTGACATCAAGTATTGCAGAGTTTGGAACGTCATTGATCGAAACTACATTTTTTTTCCAGGACTTACGCGTGATGAGTTTGTTGTTCACTGTATCTCCACCAAAGAAGTCAGACGTTAGCAGTTTACTTTTACCAAGTTTAGAAAATTTATTGTCAATATGTAAAAAGCACCAAAATCGAAAGCAAAAACGCCTAAAAATTCGTGTAACAAGTTTAGAACAAGAAACAAAAGCGGGAAACTCCGTGAACCCACAATGCCCTAGTGAAACAAGCGATGCACCGCAAAAGAAAAAGCGTCGAAAAACGATGGACAGTGACGATGATAATGGCAATTCGCCTAACCCTGGGACTAGCGGGGAGTCGAGCACTTCAAAGACTAGTACCTCAAAGACTGACGACGGTGTTGCAGCCACACCCACTCCTCCTAGGCCTAAGCTGCACCCCCTTCTCGGTACCAGGCCTTCGTTAGACTGGGTTGATCATCTAGCTAAGGCAGTTCATACTGCAATACAAAAAGTTCCCAAATAACTGGGAAACACATAAATTGAAATGCCAGAGAATTGTTATCCTGGTCTGTAAGTAGAAAAGTCGTTATATGAGGAAAGCAGTTTTGTTTTAGACATGAATAGATTTTTTTTATTGACACGCTTTCCATGTGATGGCGATTCGTTGGTGACAATTGCCATCAATGTAGAAAATTAAGTTAATATAGTGGAATGGTTTGTAATGTCTTCTTTTGGCCTTACGGCATCCAAAATAAATAAACAAAAAAAAAAGTAAGTAAATAAATGTGTACGTATATGAAGTGAAAATTGTTATTATATCAGTATAACTGCAAAACTGTGGTCAAACTGAACTTGGAAAGACGTGAAGACCGTCACATACTGCAACACACTAAGTATGCTTAACGAACCTGATCAGATCTTACTCACTTATAATTGAATGGGGATGGACAAATTCAGGCATTTTGTTTCCATTTTCAAACTTTGTGATCCCACACTGGGAAGTTGAATTATTGCTTTCCAGCCGATCTGCGCGTGCACGAGGAACCCTGGCCTGGTGGATTCAATGAAGGCACCATCCCATCATTCAGCGCGCGCATTATTATCGTAGAATTCGTTCTTCTACTGCGCGAAAGGCAACATTTAATCGTTTTAATATACGTGTCGGTTTGTAAGGTAAATTTCMACTTTTACTCCGCTTGCGATGCTTAGTGGAATGGTGCGCTGATTGGCTAAGATTAAACACGTGATCAACGTTTATAGGAGCAATTGAATGGTTTAATTGATTTCAAGTCTCACTGTATATTAAACATAGCTTTACTAGTACTATCATGACAAACAGTGTCATTTACTCGAAGGATGCGACTCCTTCAGCATAACCCCATCGATCAGGATTAGTTCCCGAGTACATGTTTCCTTGATCATCAGCAGTAGCAATAACTCCAAGACCCAAAGCACCATTTGACACCTTGTAYGGAACCTCGGTTATTTTCTGACCCATYTGTTCAGTACTATTCCTCACGTCATTATCCAACACAAACTCCTCGATGCGAACATCTTGGTAGTATGAATCAACTGATGGAAGAAGAAACGTCGGAGAACCGAGAGCCTGGGTTGGAGTCATGYGACTGTCAATAACATTGGTGATTAGTTGCTGTGTTGTCATGCTGTMGGACTGACCAATCACAGACACTGCTAATACAGGATRGCGATCGTAGGTATCTTTGGAACTGGACTTCAAAGCTAGTACAGGTTGCAGCCCGCTAGGAAGTCGTGAGCCAGGCTTGGCTACCTTAACGAAGCTCTTAAAAATTGCGGCTGAATGAGGTAAAGCAATCCCGTCTACAAACAATCCTGTGCCCCACATTTGACCGTTGATTGTGTGCGCTAATGCACATGCATTACCTTCGCTATCCAGCGCTACAACGCCGTCAGAGCCAAAGTACTCCTCGGGAGTTGCTTCACGATTACCACGCCCACCTAAAAGCTTCCTGATGATTTCATTTGCCATGCGCATCTTTTCTGGAGTACCAATTTTCTCCCACAATTGTTCGGCAGTTTCTTTAGTYTGTCGGTCAGCGTTACTGAAACTGACACCAAACGCTTCCTTTAGCTTTCCAGGACCATCGATTCCGAGTACATTGTACCACGATGCAAAGAAACTCAGTCGTGATATTGATGCTAGCCAGAAAAGTTTCAATGAGTTGCTGAGATACGAGTCACCACCCGATGAAAACCCTGCTAACTCCATTAGATTAAGTTTTTGAACAAGTTCGGCGCCTCCCCAGTCTGCTCCCGATGAGTAAAACTGATTGCCGCTGTATGAAGTGGATGCTGGCTCATTCCATTTAGCCTAAAATATTTAACATCAGTAAAAATAGCTATTTGATACTGAAATATAACCGATAAAGCAAATATCAGGTTGTCAATTAAATATAAGTCCGTAAATCTCGTTATTTGACATCAATGATGAACACTATTGTCGGTTTACCTGATAATTAGCCATGTCTTCTTCAGTGATTGTTCCTTTTTGGCTAAGCACAGTAGCAGCGAACCGCCTACCAAAACTGCCTTTGTAGAAGTAATCTGTATCTTTCATCGTTACGTTACGTAAGAAATCCGCCATTGCTGGTTGCCTGAATAGTTCTCCATATGCATATGGTCTGCCAGTGTCGGGATTGGTGAACAGAGCTTTCCCTTATAAATCAGTAAAATCTCATCATAAAATAGCACATTTTGGACATTCTTCTGTTTGTGTGTGTTTGTTGACGGGCTTTTTAGAGGTAGAGATTTTTGGATAGTTTACCTTCTGGAGTGCGAAGGAGTGTCTTGGAGTTATAATTTACGAAAATGCTGCCATACAACCAGTATGGAACTTTGAATCCTTTCTCTGTGAAGTACAAAGCAGGCTCGAGTAGTGTGCTGAGTGGAAATTTGGCAAACGTTTTGGCCGCCTCCACAACTGCCGCAATGAACCCTGGTATAAGAACTGTCGCGCCGTTCGGACCCTCTGAATGAATCGGTGGAATGTCGTATGGTTTTTGACGTGGTACGTCCCAACCACCGTCAAGACTGTACACTTTGTCTGATTTCTTGTCGTAGTACAGTATGTTACTTACGCCAGCATAAGACACGTACGAGCCTGTTGCAAGGGCAACTTCTGTGGACAAACGAATGTTTAATGTTTATAGTCTTTGCAGAAAAGTAGGCATCCGATGCATGTTTTAATTTTTGTAAATAGAGTAACTATTTCATCAAAAGAAGTGTATACCAGCCCTGTTAATATTCTCACGATTGCACGGTAGAGTTTTGTATGCTTTGTTGTAACTCACGCATAAGGGTCAGCACAAGAAACAATTTCACCATTTTAATTAACATGCCCTGCAACTTTGCATACTGTATATCTACACCGGCGCAACGACCTCTRTGGACGAAAAATTGAAAGAAAGGTGTCAGTTTGAAATATTTCTATTTTTGTGTTGCGATGATAATTGGCTCATTTTAATCGATTGTTGASATCTTGTGAGGCCCGTTTCATAGGCTGAATCTTGTCTTGCGGGAGTCCGACACATCAYTAAGCCGTCACTGTGATCGATGAAAGAGTATTTGGTTCGAGAAGTCATAAATCATGGACGAAAATTTTCTGCCTGTTTGTAGCGACACCGTATTTGTTGCGTGACCCTGTAGTTTTTGAACGTGTATCAGAGGGCATGTARAACTCGAGTATTAGACTCTAGAAGCATTGATTTTATACCCGTTTCGGTGAAAGTTATGGAATGAGGAATGAGCAAAGCAGTTCTACTACTACTAACACTCAAAAACTCTAAGTAGCAGTTAAAATATTAAAACCTAACATCCCAATAATTACCCTAGCTAAGCTTCCTTATAACAGAGACTAAAACAGGAACTATGCTTACCTGTAACAGCTGTTGCTAGACAAGCATCCATCGCGTTTCCTCCTTTCTTCAGTGCATCGACTCCAGCATGTACTGCAAAAGCATTAGTGGTGCCAGCAACAACCCCTTTACCATCGCTGTAAGCCAAGGGTTTTGGTCGTGAATAGTCTTTCAGCAAGTTGAATCGTTCCAACCTGTCAAACACATCTTTGGGCCAAGACTCGGGGGACAACGTCACCACAGAATCCCTGTAGCAGTAAGTAGGGACGAACAATACTAGACAGATAACTAGGTAGACTTTCATCCTTACTAACGTACCTTCGAGTCATGAAACTGCTGATATTTGTACTGCTTATATAGTCTCCTGCAGTATAGAGTGGAGACTCGTTCCAGTCCTTTGAATTASTCTGATGGTTAATTATTTTATTTCCAATTAACCATCGTATGTCAGATTGAGTCAATAAAGGTTCTTGACGTATTTACCAACATTTGACAAGTGAGGAAGAAATAGAGGATGCTGAGATTATGGTGAAAACAGAACAGAGAGACTAAACTATAATGGACATTATTATGCAATGTCGTTCTTTCGCTTTGACATGCTTTGACCTTCCGCGTACTGCCATCCTGAACAGATCCCTCGATGGACTCCCTCAGTTACAAGTGCAATATTGGTGACTTTTATGATTGRATTGTAATTAGTGTGTTCACCTGTTCTTAGTACTTTGATAAAAKATCCTGACCCAATTTCCAGCTGATTTTTGTCACAAGTTCWTTAATCATCAATCACTCAGGGGGATTTTCAATAATGGACAAGGTCAGTAGCCGTAGTGAGTTACGGTCAAGTAAACAACGAAAGCGTCGGTAGCTCAATAACGATAATCACAGTTATATTCGTCACTAACTTTGCTAATCACATCACTGTGAAGTTTAGAGAATGGCTGGAGATAAAATAGACGTTATACATACAGTCCTTCTATATATGGCAGACACTTGTATATAATACTTTTGTTGTTATACCTACAGTCCTTCTATATATGGCAGCCACTTGTATATAATACTTTTGTTGTTTTGTCATGCACATATATAATGTACTCCATAAATAGATCCTCGATATTTCTGAGTGACTAAGAAACGAACAAAAGAAATTAATACATATAGACTATTATTTCCCCGGTGTCTCGTCTTTAATTCAGCTGGGTATGACTATTCAGACTGTATAGAAAATGGACTATATTCTTTCCGATGAAATTGTCAAACGCACAGTGCTATTAGCTTCTTCATTATTGCCTAGAATGACTTTTTGAAAAAAACTAAAATGTAAAAGTAGGAAATAAAAGTGACCATTGTTCAAGAGAATATTTACATATCGCGGTAAGKAACAGTATGAAAACTTTAATAATGGCTGTGACATAAATTGCTAACTAAATTGTTAGTGATCATGCATCTTCAATTTTGTATTTTAATTTTTCTTCCAATTCGTTGTGTCATTTTATTTGTTTTCTTTCTTTTGTTAAATTAAACACGTTTACATAGGGTGTTGACCAACATATCACTTCATTATTTGCTTTTCTTGCGACAGAAATCAGCTGTTGCACTAACAATACGTCATGCTTGTCACTCTCTAAAATGACTTCATTTTATCTTGAATTGTGGAAGGAAAGCTGAGCAATCCAGTCGTAAAGCTGGAGTTGTTTGGCGACAATTTAAAAACTGAAAAGACTGAAATACTATAATCAATTTAAATGTAATGGTCGTTGAAAACTAAGACATAAGAAGCAAACCCTTGCTATGACAGGAGATAAAAGCGCTGCAATACATTCAGCTTAATCGCGACTAAATCAGAATTCAAACGCCGATACTCACAAGTGCGCTTCTGAGTACAAATTACCGGRATCTTTTTTACTTCTCATTACAATCTCACTTACCCTGAGTCTTGATTTTACGTTCATTAACGGCCTGCTAAGTTATACTCTCTGTGATTTTTAGGTCYATAACGCACAATAAACGAACCCATCACTTTCCCTCGTTTACAACTACGATATAGAGTCAGCAAAGTTGTTGCTACGGAAAGTAGTCTCGATGATTACCCTGATTAGAGTGGTCTTCGTGATGCACAGGCAATACTCATGTTTCAACGCAGAAGAGACAGCGTGTAATAATGCGTAAAAAGCTAAGTGTATTTCACGGATTTGCCAAACCATTGGTGTGTGAATCTTTTATTTGAAAACACATTATAATATTGTAAATTGTAATTGAAATGTCCATCCGGTGAATGATGGCTGTTCTAGATACAATGAGTTGATGTTATCAAATAAAACATATTCTCTACCGCAACATAAATCAAACATTCGACATGGACGAGGTAAGATATGTCAAAAATATGCTTATAAATATTCAATAAGTCGCTTTTGACAGATAGCACAAATATACTCCAGTAATGAACAGGCTTAACAAGAGCCGGGCGAAACACATGAAATTTAAAATGAATCAAATCAAATACCTCATTGAATAAGGATTTGAGGAGGCAATAAAAATCGGTGCTTTTTRATTTCACTGAATAAATTTCAGTAAGATATGTTAAAAGCAATCGCACTGAAATTGTTCGTAGTCTATTATTTATTCAGAGTATTGTTTAGTACCTCATCAATATGTGCATAATGAATTGTGGAACACATCTACATTTCTTGAAATATCCGCGCTGAATAACAAGAAAAACTGATTAATGTTCCGCCGTGAATAACTTAAGACTGTGTTTTTTCAAGTTCTCTTTTTGTAAATCAATCAGTTTGGTGAGTATGGATGACAGAACAGAGTCTACAGACCTACAGAAACAGGGAAAATTCTCCAACTGGAAGAGAAAAGGCAAACTCTCGGAGCTAGATCGTTTGAAGAAACGACAGAAAGAGCTGCAGATTATGAAGCTATCGCAAGAATGGGATGCTAGAAGACACAAGCGTAAAATGGATCGGATTCAGTGGCTTCAGCAACGAAAGGATCAGGTTGTTTCTCAAAATGAGTCCACGGAAACAACCAAAACAACTGACGGGGCTGGTGGTGAAGGCCAGCGCGCCAACCAAAGTGTTCCCAGCAAAGCAAACAATTCCCCGTTGTCATCGTATTCTACGCAAGARAATTCATACGACAGAACAAGAGACGAGCTTTCTAAACCTATTTGTAATGTAACTATCAACAAACCCGAAGAAAGCTCAACAAATATGTGTAAAGTGTCGAGAGCAAGCTCAGCTGAAAACGAATCTTCTATATGCAGTCCACCAAATCAAGTATACAAATCTGTTGTTGTCAAAACGGAGCGCCTAGATTCTGATAGATTTAGCAATTCTAATTATACAAGCGTGTCTCGACAGTCCAATTCTAGAAACTCTAGTCATATTCCCGCGGAGAATAGAAAACGACGAAAAAAGGTAAGGAATCGTCGCTTGACAGCAAAATGTTTTTATTGGTGTCGCTCGAGCGCTTCGTCGTGCATCAGACTGAACAAAATTACCATAAAATTAGAAATTCACAAAACAGGAAAATATATACTCCGTATGAAAAGATTTTTCTGTTAAGTCTTAAGGACAAGAAAACTACATAATGCAAGGTTTTTAGCAAGAATTTTTTAATAGTTTGAAAGGAGTTCTTTCTCTAATCCATTTCGCATTGATTCATCTGACGCGCAGGAAAGATYGATGAATTTTTAGAAGTTTGTCAAAAACAATAGAATGTTTTCTCACACGTGCAAAGTACAATAGGTCTCGACTCGGCTTCTTCTGGCTGATATGTTCACGAGAAGTTAGTTCGAATGTATGTCGATATATATAGAGATACTAGAATATATCCGCAACTATTCTCACAACTAAACATTTTCACAATATTATTTGAAAGTGTGAAGTATCCGGAACTGAAATATATACACAATTGAAATAGAACACCGAATTATTCGTAWTGATTTTTACATTTATTCATTTATTTATTTGTCCATTTTTATTTTCATTGACAGTCAAACTAAGATCGTTTCAGCTGGCCTTCTACTTTACATATAAGCATGATTATGCAAATTTCGTCTGTTTTAAGTGACGGACGAATATTTTTTGTCATCTTCGCTCATCAAGTGGCAGATGGTATTTTCTCAGTATTTCAAGAAGAAAGGAACTGAAATTGTTCTCTTGAGACGTCTAGTGATTTGCATGAAGGCAGACTGATTATACTATACATGGTATTTAATGCCTTTCAACCATCGTTTTGATCGCTCGAGTTGCTTTCATTTCTCTGTTAAATTTATAATTTTTTGCTTGTCTCATCTTCTTTTGTAAGTGCTGGGTTCTACAGTTTCTAACCGCTGGGATAAAATCAGCTAATATGCCACAAATTAGCAGCCAGACAATCTCTCTTGTGAAGGTTTATGAGTATCTTTCCCTTTCAAATCTTGTCAATGACTGACAGCATCAGTCAAGTATTCAGCTTACAGAAAAGTAATAAGTGCTTGCATGGTTACGGTCACGTGAATAACATGCACATTGRAATATCTTTCCGACAAAAAATAGACCAAATTAATGAATGCACTCTGGGATATTAACCCACGTGATAATGAACTACACTTTTTTCATTCCACTCCGATTCTGTTTGCTTGTAGACAACACAATGTACTGTGACTGTTTGTTACTAATTATAATGCATTATGGAAGATGCATTTATCAATTTTGATAGCTAATAATGCCTGAAATATCTCAGTAAAATATCTCGTGTAATTTGTCTTCCTAGGATAGCCAGGATATTCGTATTCGCACTGTAGAAGAACACCTAGAGCTCCATCCAACTRTTCATCATGCAGGTCTTGATTACTTCTTATATTATTTTATTTTTTTAATTTGTACTGCATTATTTCTCTAATACTATTGTAGATATATCATGTTTGTTTCCTTAACAGTAGCCAGGTAAAGAGTGATCTTGTGACTGCTTAGAAGTCTTTCTTTTCGTTTTCTTTCAGTGTCGTTATTGTGTCTTACATGCCTTTCTGCACGTTTCAAAACGTTTAAACGGCTACAACTATAATTGTCGACTCTTAGCTTTATCACTTTGCAATACCCAAACGCTATTGGTTGTTTTAACGTCAGCTTTTTATTTAAGTGAATGTTACAGACTAAATTAAATCACATTCCGTTTTCAGTAATTGACTGTCAATTTAACAGCGGACCTTAATAACCCTCATCTTTAACCTTTTATTTCAGCTCTATCCTTTAAAGCTTCTTTTTTATGAGAACTGATATTATCAGTTTCGGACTGGATTTTTTAAATCGAGTATCTCGATTTAAACTAATTTCAATAAAATATCTAATCGACAACAGTTAAGCTAATGCAACGCATATGAACTAATGGGCTTTTCGTTAAAAAGCTTTAACGTAATGAGTTGCCATTGATTTCCAATTTAGAAGGGAAGCTTGGAAGCAGTGCGTATGAGAGTTTGGTGAATCTAGTCAACTCTCAGCCTCCTGTTGAGGATATATGTAGTCAGCCGTCCTCTGTTATCGCTCAAGCAATGAAACAAAGTGGACTTGATGACGAAGAGGTTCATGACGAAGACATGGACGAAGACGAGGTAATTGATTTCRAGTGAAATAATATTCTTGCATCGGTTAAGATATTCACATTTTTTGCGTTCATTTTTGAAAAATGACTTMATGGTTGTTATAATCGGTGGAATTTCATTCTAACACATCATGTTCTTTTTATTTCAGCCATCACTGTTAATGGCGTCAGAACCTGTGCGTTTTGAAGAGGTTTTGCAACGAGGAGGCACAAACATACAACGACTTCGTAAGTTGCATAACCTATGCACTACAACACATGCCTTCTTCTCTATTGTCCTATTTATAAGGCGAGAATAGCGCACGCCAAGTGTGGTTCATCATTTGATTTAGTACAATCGACCTCTTTCCCAGGGCTTCTCTGTTGCTTTTTTCATCGGAATGGCCGCCATTGTGTGRAAGAGAAAGCCCTGGCATCGACCGATCACGTGACACCCAGCTAYATGGAATACCGATGAAGAATAATACAACAACAGGCAAATCAAAATACACATTTTACCCACCAATGYTAAGCAATTTTCTTCTTTCGTAAAAAGTCCTGGGAACGAGGTTGTAGCTGAACCATAAACTATAGACAACATGATTTCTGAAAACTAACCATTAACCAAAGAGCATAACGGGAAATCACCCAGCAATTAACACATAGCCACGATGATTGACAAGAAAATAAATTTCGTCGCTCAACACATCGTAATGCAACTGATAAACCATCCCTTTTTTGTTTGATTTTAGTACTAATTTAATAACACACAAAAGTGGCCGAATATCACTGACTGCCAGTTCAATTTGAGATTTAAAATGTGTTTATAAGACTAGATTATGACATAGCTTCAAATGTTATTTTTGGCACATCTTCAATTTATTAAACTGATTCTTGGAAGGAAATTTTTCAAGATCAATATTTGAGACAGCATTTGAGACATGCAGAAAGAAGAACGAATTTATAAGTACAAGTTGCATTTCAGATTTAATGCTTTACGTGTCTTTCCAAATATCTTTAAAAAAGGATAGATTAAGTAAGAAAAAAAATGATAAACCGTATAATGATATCGAGGGAAGTTTTCGAAGGGTGGAGTTGGGCAATCAATTAACGGCCCTTTGAAAGCGTGGGCTGCTAGATAAACATATCGTCAATCAACAGTCTTAAAATGTTTTCATTAGTTGTTAAGTGGACAGGTGCTACTAATCCTATTGCTCATTGACAATTGTACCCTCCCTCCGCTAACAGAGTGTTAGCTGCTCTTTTTGGTTGTATCCACAGCAACTCGAAATGTAGAAATCATGTCAAGCAATGGAACAAGTAAACARCAAACCGCAGCAGATAAGGTGCTCAGTGAAAGCACATTACAGTTAAATTGTGATAAAAACACTGAATCATGGATGATTCTTATAAATAAAACTTACGCTCTTATCTTTACAGACACACCCATATTCCAGACCTCACAGTCGAGACTCACTGGATGGCCTCAAAACAGTAAGACAAGGTAACAAATGATTTGTATTGCAGATTTGGTTTACTTATACTAGAAAGACTAAATAGTCTCGTGAATCAGAAATACTTGATCTAGCTARCACAACCCTTTTTGATGTACGTTGCGAAAGAAATTTTGACTGTGTACAACCCGATCATCTGATCACTTTAGTCACTACTCCTTCCTGAAGAAATTTCTGGATGGACTGAATAAACCTTGTTATTTTCAATACTAGATGACCATGACCCAGCATATCCAAAAATAAAGCAATGCTATTCATTGATGGGTCAAGAAAGTAAAAATTCAACTCCCTTACCCTCACCTTCAAGTACGCATACAGGAAGCCCGGTAGCTACAATCGCGTGTTCGTCTAGCGAATGTAATAATACAGTAAACATCGAGGGAAGAAGCCATCCTGTTGCCCAGACATCCACAGCAAATCAGTCGTGCCCACCATCGGGGTATCTGGTCCCAGTTTATAAACCATCTGCTGATGAAGTAGTATACGCCTTTGTTCCTAGCACGGGTGACCGAGTGCACCCAGGGCATCTGAGAGCTTCTGACATAATGAAAACTTCCGCGGATAATACCGTATACACTCCAGTCGATGAAAGACACCAGGGGCGTTCTGGCTTCTCCACTATTAGGCCTCCAACAGCTATTATTCATCACGGTCGAGGTATAAATTCCCCGCTAGATCGGGTAGAATACTCACATAAGATGACCGACTCTTACCAGCCTACAAATGTGACGTGGGTTAATGCGACCTCAGAACGAGAAAAACGCGATTACCAACCGAAAGGCGTGCATACAACTTTTCCGACTATTCGTGAAGTCCCTGTGGTAAGTTCGACATCTGGAAATGCACATCGTTACGGTTCTTATCACAAAGCAGAAGTCATCATAAAACCGAGGCAAAACCAAGGCCCTGTAGTTACAATGGCCAACGGTTATTCACCAACGGCCCAAAATACACCGCGTGTAGCAGACACTGTAAATAATGGACAGGGATTGAGGTCCAGTCCTCTCACAAATCCAGATACCATAAATAATCCAACTGCCGTTTACGTTCGGCCACGTCTCGTTCCTCGGGAAATTATCGTACCTTATCACGCAGGTTCCGGAAATGTGCCGATCGTAGAGTATATTAAAACGGACGTTATATGTGATAAAGATCTTTCGAACTGGACAGCTCAGAACGTCGCAGAATTCATCTCGGCAACAGACTGTTCCGAAAGCGCCAAGATATTCATTGAACAGGTAAATCATGATTTATACATTATGCAATACAGATATTAGACGGATATACGAGGAAACATTGATAGAATAGAGAGTATAGGAGGGAATAATTGCCCTAGTGCATTATGACGTCACATCAAAACATTCTATTGTTTTAACGATAAGGATTATGGTCGCCAAAAGGGATCAGAGTGACTTCATTTGAAATAAAATGTACATGAACAATCATTTATACATGATATATATCAAAACACGATTCATTGAAGTTCTACTTTAGACAATATAAATGGGTCCAAATTTCCACTGTTTTTGAGCATCGTTTTCCGATGTAAACATACTGTGACGTCATAATGAAATGGGGCAATTCAAATATGAAAATGTGTGCATTTAAAAAGTATCGTTCTTTCTATTGTCAGGACATCGATGGAAAGGCTGTACTCCTTCTATCTCAAGATATCTTCGTCAATCGCTTGAACTTAAAACTTGGCACAGCTATAAAACTCTACAATCACGTGGCGAATTTACGCTCGGCCCTGTTGATGTAACCATAGTTATATCTGTTGCTTTGCAATCAATACTAAAATGTGTCAAGTGTAATAATGAACAGCCGATTTGTAACTGACAAAAGCAAAGAATTTTYAAAGCTGTAGTAGATGATAGCAGACGTCGCTGACATTTTCTCCCTTGCTATGCAAGGCTTTTTAGAGTATATTTTGAGTAATCGTCATAATTCTTTTCGCATGTCAAAGTTTACGCACAATTAACTCAAAATTCGTTATTTTTGCTAAGAAATCAAGATAACATATTCATCAGATACATGTATAGCTATCGTACATACGTTATACCGCCATTAGCGCACAACACATGGTTCTTGGAAAGCGGCCTGTCTAAAATATTCTGGACTATTTTTGCTAGCGCATTTGGGATTCTGGTTATTTGATTGCGATTAGAATCTTCTGATCAGTATGTATATAAAAATCATGTATATTGTGATATACAAATATGGTCCGCAGTGATAGTGCTATTATTGTACTTATTAGTGACTAGGACTGACTACAATCATCACCGTTTAGTATTGTCATTGTGTGAGCAGTAATACACTAACAGCTAAAGGCCGAATTAGAAGGAGCCTTCAACCATAACATGCAAACTGTGCAGTTACCCTTACGACATTGCAGTTGCCATAGATTTAAATGCTTAAGAGCCCTTCGACAGTTGGAGCCACGTTTTGCAAGGATGACTTACTGAGGTTACACGCGATGGTTAAGGGCAAATGTTGTGCTATCTAATTAATTCGGTCTTAGAACAAAGATTGTGATTTGGCGAAATAACACAGGTAAAAGACAAGTAATACCAAAAAAAATGTCTAGTAGAACAACCGGCATTAATTAACTTAACAACAGATATACGCATGCTCAAATCATCAATGCGCATGCTCTGTGCCGTCACTATAAACCACCAATCCGATGCAAAGTTAAACACTGAATAACAACTCTTACGTCCAACTCGTCCAGTTCCCTCTTGCTCGGGATATCAGTCTCATGTGCCTTTCTACTGACATATGGTCAACATGACGATCAACGAATTGGTCATATTCCTTTTTCACTAAGAACTCGTGTTTAGATACAGTTTTGCTTTCATTTTGTCCCCAAACCTCATGGATTCGAGGAAAAGTCTTGTTCGTTGCATTGTTTGGGGGGTTATTCTGTCCGCTACAAGCATTTACTTCATGTGACTTAGTCATACCACCAGTGTGAGGACAGGAGGCTTTGATCGTTTCAGATTTGCCGTCAGATGAAATGTATCGCTGATCATTTGCATTACACGCTGTTTTTGTTAGGCTGTGTTCCTGGATATTTTGTCCAGCAAAATCTGTTTTATCTACACTGTGAGGTTCGGTCTTGGTTTTGGTACGCACATTTTTACATAGCACATTTGTTTCATTCTTAATAGCAAAACCCTCTCGAAGAGGGAGCACTTTGGCATTTCCTAGAGGAGCGTTGGATTTGTGGATTTGACGAATTGGAGGAGATACTTGTTCGCTGATTAGTTTTCCAAATGATGGTTGAGCTTTATTTTTCCTTTTGTTGTCATTTGGTGGGCGTTTATTGAGTGGCCGCTTTGTGCATGAGGGCCAGTCGTGATAAATTTCCTTTTCCTGAGATTTATCTTCTAGGTATTTTGTCTGCACTGGGTCTTTGGCTTTGATTTTTGGACTTGACGTCATAGCTGCTTGATTTTTGCGTTTAGCTTTGCTAGTGGATTCAGCCTCTAAAGTAGTACTATCATTGCTAGAAATAGCAGTCGAYATCTTATGGTTTGTAATCTTTGGATTCATTGTATTATCTTCCAGTTCAGGAGAAGTCTTTTCGCAATTGCTGGCAGTATGATAGTTCATTCTTAGTGGTTTATTGGTATTATACTTTGTCTCTTGACTTTTGAAACCGTTAACCTTCTTATTAAACATTGATTTATCATACGTTGTATGGTCGGCATCCGGTGTGAAAGTTTCCTTATTGTTTCTCTTGTCTTGGAGTTCTTTACTGGTCACTGGGTATTTTGTTTCACATTCATCATCACAATTCTCTTCTTCACTTGTTTCACTAACGTCTTCAGTTTCTGAAACGAGTTCCTGCCCAGTCCTGCACGGYGGTCTAAGGTTCTTCCATCGAGTAGCACGTCGTTTCCTGTGTTTTCCCTTTTTCTTTTTACTGGTTTGTTTTTGTTTGGTTCCATATTGCTTATTGGTAGCGTTGGGTATCAATCCCTCTAACCATTCTTCTCCATTCTCACTTTCTTCTRGTTCTKTAGCAGGGGATCTTGTATTCGCAGTTCCAGTTGTTTTACTTCCGGTCTGAAACTTCCTTTGTTTGAGCGGAAATTCATTGTCGTCGTAGTGTCGATGTGAAGTCGGTGAGGAGGATTGTCCATGATAATGTCGACTGTGTCCGTTGTATCTAATTCCATCATCATACACAAATCTAGGTCTAAACCAAAGCCTGTCCAGGAACATCGTCAAAATAATTTCTTCCAAAGTAACATATTCTAGGTCTTCATTTGTGTCTGCCAAAGTTTGGTAAGCTTCTTGCAAGCTTTGAAAACGTTCAGTCGCATTAGGGTCATGATGGTTCTTGTCTGGATGAAGTTCCAGAGCTTTTTGTCGATAAGCTTTTTTGATTTCATCGTCTGTCGCCGTCAGTGGTAGACCWAGTATCGCTAAACACTCGGCTCTTGTTTTTGACATTTTAAGTTACTACTAGTTGCTGCTAAAATTTGTCGTCGACAAAAATCAAATCAAGGAACACAATCGTCACCGAAAATTATTCTGTTTGCTGACAAGTCAGAAAATATAATATACCAGCATGATGACGTAAAGACGTCAATATCAACCAATTATCAACCAATAAGATTGACCAAAACTACAGCAGGTCAGMAAACCTCTCTACCATATAATTATTCCCCGAAATCACGTTGAATTATGTCATATTGTATATTTAACTGAACTTGGCTGTTGATAATGACACCGGAAAATACTGTTGTGATCCTCTTGGTCTTGCATTCCTAATCCGGAACTTTACCTTAAAGTCTATGTTATAGACTAGTCGGTAGGTCCGGTAGAAAATTGTTAATCGAGCATACCGTTAGTTATATAAGACTGGTGTTCTGTGGAATATTTAGTATTTTCTATAGTGTACGTAGATGGTAGTAGGGGAGGGAGAAGRCATGAAGCAGTAAATGATAAACATAACATACATTGTGGTCTTTGGGAAGACAACGTTCAGTAACGATACTTAGTAATGTATGTAATGATGTTTATTACAAGTAAACCATACAAAAATAGAGCTAYCATACATTACACTAAATTTTATCATAAATTTTATCTAAATTCTATCATACATTATAACTAAATACAAGGGACGCTTGCTCTTGCCTATGCGCGTTCGTGTTGCAAAAAAGCCACTTACGTTTCGAGCATTCCCTGCTATCGGAAGTTTCCATAAGCCAACCTAACCGATTGAAAGCTACCTTCACTGATTAAAACGTGAGTTACATTACTTATCGTATTATTTGTATTTGATATCAGTTAATCAGGGTCGTTATTCGYCTCTTAATCGGTGCATATAATCAAAGTGTTTGAATTAAATATTCTTTGTTTTCTGTAAATCATTGTTTACAGTTTTAGCGACACCACTGGCAAGTTATTATAGTGTTTTCGTCATGGCGTCATGGACCCCGGAGTGGCCGGACGCAGGATATCTCTCCATGWTTCTAGTCGATGATTCTGTGCATGAGCTAAGTCAGCCAACTGAACACTCACTTCACCAATAAATTTTTCCTTGGAGACGGCGCTCTGTCCATACAAACGCATACGCACTGCGAGTCTAAATAAATCTTCTCTTGTGAGTCGATCAAATACATATGTCTCTTTGAATACAGGATTCGGTGTTTTAACTGACTTGGTTTTAAACCGCTGCTTTTTGTCCGGGAGAAGGACAACGTGAAACTTGGCATGGCTGGCACCCCCCTTGCTTTTAGGAGGAATATCTTGTGCTTCGACAATCGAAAATCCTACTCGTCCAACATCAGGGAAAAATTCTGCCATAAGAAATACCTTTCCCATGTACACTGCATTTGCAGTGCTACCTTTAGCAGTTCCCGTACTCCTTATTGAGCCTCCATCGGTTAAGTCCTGTAATGCAAGGTAATTAGTACCCTGAATATCACCATACGCTGACACAGCGGGCCTTGGTAAACTTTTTTTGCTATCAACTTCACCATCAGAAGTATATGCACCCCTTTCACTTTGTGGCGACCGATGCGAGCCTTCTTTATGACTAACTTGAGGCGACTGTGGATAAGACTTTCGTTTTTGTATAACCGAGTCCTCATAGTCATCCATTCCCTCGTTTTCTTCGCCTATTTGAAGTTCTTCATAACCAGCTTTGTTTTGCTCGGTCTGTGCRCAAGGACAGAGGTCCTTGGAAAGGCAATAGTACATGGCCAACAGTCCAAGAAGAAGAATTAAAATTAAACCAAGAAACGACAAAGCGGGTATGTACCCTAGGAAACGATCAAATCACAGTTAGTAATATTCGATGCCGTACACAGAAGGAAAATGACTAATTACGGTAGCGAGGGATGGATTATGCCGATCAACTACATTTAAAAGACTTTAACAGAATATGTAAATACAGCATTATTCACATATGCCTTAAAATTGTGTTCGAAAAAATTACTGTAACGAAAAAAGTGAAACAATCCTGCTGGTTATTCCACGCAATGTTAGTCCGGCTTTAGAGATGCCATTTCTATAAGCTGAGTAAACATTCTATACCTACTATACTACTGACATCAAAAGCTTTTCTTTGCTCGATCAGCCACGTTGAATATCAAACCTTGAAACGAGGCTATAATGACGACAAAATAAGTCTATATTGCTATTATTGAGCAACTAGTCCTGCTGGTTTATGAGTATACATTAATTGTAGTTTATATTTATTGTCAGAAAAAAGATCCTCAACAATTAATCTAATTCTATTTTAAGAAAAATTGAAAATTCAAGGTAGCATGCAAAAGAAAAGGTCAAATTAGTTTTCATTAACCTGTATAACTAACACACAGGTCGAATTTCATGGGAAGTATGTAATCGTGATTGTTAAAACTCAGCGAATGAGAGCACTTCTTTTTGCGTCAAAGGAAATCAAAGGATAAAAAAGCTTAAAATAGTATGGACATTAAAAGTATCTTATTTCGTCTTTCAAACTTTGCCCATTAAGGAAAAAATAATAACGTACAGACCTTACAGTGTTTGCCGGGCCATTACAAACTAGTTTCTGCAGGCTTGTATGATTATAAATAAACATGTTGGATGGAAGTAGTTTATCATCCATACCTGATAGCCAACTTAGCTGCATGCTATTACAATAGTAACGCCTTTCTCTTGTGTTAACTAATACTTGCGTTAATGGTGTAAACCGTTAACTTTGCTGTGTTTCAGCATGGTAAATATAAAGCCAGCAGTGGCAAACGTACAGTCAATAATATGACTGACATTCTACGATACACTGACTCACAATCTAGCAGCTATCCATCAAATGAACTCTTCGTATGCATTGTTAACCAAAATTGGAAGTCGTCGTGGTAACTAAAATACACTGAAGCATGTGTCAGAAGCCTTTAAATATTGAACTATCAAATCCATGACGACCAAGAAAAAAAAGGAAATATTTAGCAAATAGAATAACTACTATATGCACTGTATTCAATCATAGTTTCAGTTCGACAAGAGAAAACAAGACAAAAATATTAACGAAAAAATATAAAAAAGACATTAACACCGCAGCTTTACACAAACACTATTCGACTGATTTGTGGAAAACATACTTGAATTAAACAAACGAGATTGAAGCCTGAAGTGCGAATGCATGTGAATTATTTTTCATTCCCTTCGTTCATTTCTCGTTGCAGAACACGAAGAGCGTTGCTCTGGGCTGAGATTGAAAGAAACGCTTTACAAAAGAGGTGGAAAGTTTGGTTTGTTTTTTTTTCGTTGCAGTAAAAACTTATAGGTCCCTTTCGCAATCTTGGAATCAGTATCGATTTCATCAAGAACGGAATCGAGGGGTTGATTGTGGTGAATGGCCATACACCCCCTTCTTTTTTCAATGTTAGAAAATATAGAAGCAGTTATGATGAATTGAAAAAAGAATTATAGCAGGCTTGGGGTTGAAGGGGGGGGGGACGAGCTTGAAAGGTCTTCAGCTTGTCACCCCCTTTGTAAAGTACCACTACTTATTAATTTCCTGCACGTATCAAAGGGTCCTACATAGTTTGTGCATGACAAATGGAATAAAAAATCCTTTAAGGGAGGAAAAATGCTGCAAAGAAGGTGAAAAAATATTGCAGAGCATCGAGGGCAAAATATCAACAAAAAAATTATTGCACTAAATAATAACAATATCTAATAATATTTATCGTGGATAAACTCGTAATAGTATACAATACTAATATACATCTTCCTCCCTCCTTCCCTGAAAAGTCAAATGGTCAGTGGAGTATTCCCCATTATGGAATCAGTGTCTATTGTTTCGTTGTATTCGAATATTTAGAAGTAAATCAGTCATCCACGTCGTTACTTCTCATGTATTATGAACTAAAAACAAGAAACTATTTCTAGAGTAAAAAAAAAAACTTATTAAGTAGATGCCTACAATTATTATTTATTGTAAACAATGAACTCTGTTAAAAAGAGCAACAATCTCCACGTATCGTAAAGGATGTCTTCATATATAATCTATTCTGATCTTTTGTTTTTGTTCACAGACCTTAATATTACACCCACAAGCGAGTGGCTTCCCAAAGAGTGCACGAAAAAGTAAATGGAAGTCAATCCAATTTGTCTTTCACATTTCCGTGATTCTTTTTAATTTTTTGACTTTTGCAAAAACCAGCCTCATAAGTGAATTGTTGAGTTAACTTTTAGAATACCTTTCAAACTCCAATGGTTAAAGAATGTTAGGTCATGTGGATACTCTGTCCATTAATTTGAAGGAAATACCTTTGTTTTGATATTTGAGGTTGTAATCTATGTAGTGACTTCAAAATGAAGTTTGACGAACACTATTAAAATGGAGGCGAGGTATAAAATAAGCCAGCGCGCCCGAACCAAAGTGGTCTTCTCATAAATTATGCCACTTGAGMCATTAGGCGCGCAAATATTTCGATCGGTACAAAATACAATATAAATCCAATAGTTCAAAAAATAGCAAAGAAATGTCAATCGAAAKGACACAAGAATCGCATTTAGAACTGTATGATCAACAGACARAGGAACAATTTTCAGTTTTTCGCGCAGACATCAACGTGCATTAATTGCTAAGAGAGCCTCGCGTTGATTAACAGATTATTAACCGTTTCTACTAGTATGTAGGACTTCAAACTCGTGTATTTTCATTCTTATTAGAGGTGAATACTACCGTTACTTAGCAGCGTTTCAGTTCTATAACATATTTATACATGTCGCAGTCTAATCAACGTTAACATAAAATCGATTAATGAAACYTCCAAGCTAATGTGAAGTTTAAGTATATTTTAAAGTCGCAAAGTAGGGTATATGTAAATGTTAATATTTTCACTTACCGAATCCCATGATTCTTGCTTTAATCAACCTATATTTATAAGTCGTGGCATTCCAATAACAATTCGCAGATCATGGTCTACTAGATCGGGATGAACTTAGATTTTCCTTTGACTACACATCAAGATTTGCAGGGCACTGTAGCTTCCAAAATCATATCAGTCAAACTGAAGAAACGTTTAAAAGTTTGAACACTTTCTAAAGCCTCACAATATTTGCCAACGGGATGTTCAACTACTGAATTTGAATTTCAATCGAGCTGAAATTACCACAGACGTCATCACCTACGTGTTCAAGCGTGACTTTACTGACAATATGCTAATTTCAGGCTTCTTTGGTAACGCTGTAACGCAATCTTCACTGGGTGTATTTTGATCAAGCGACATTTTCTATTCATAAATGAAGTGACGCATGTCATCTTCACATTGTTTATAGCATTCAATCAATCTTTTGCTATAAAGTCATAATCAAAAGTGGAGCTAGAAGCTGGATAATCCAATAAAATCAAATAATRAATTAACCATCAAAAAGATCCTCTAACGCATCAAAATCATCTATCAAAGTCTTTCTGTCTTGTAATGACAGTCCACACTCATTTGGTATCTTTTTTGTCATGTTACAATATTCATGATTYTTAGTAGTCATCCTAGCTGCATGCATAGTTTCTACTTGGATATCACCATTCAAGTTTTTTTCGATTGGAGATCCTTTCGGGCTGGAATAGTTATTTACATAAAATGTTTCTTGAATTTTTGTAGGTGATGTACATGCTGCCTCACTATTTTTGCCTGTTAATGCATCCTCTCTATCATTTTCTGYAGGATACAACTGAAAACAAAATACAGATAAAAATGTTCTTCACACTTTGATGTTGGTAGCATAGGAATGCCATTCATTACAYATACTTACATTTAGGCATAACAATCCATTTTGTGTTTCTTTAGTTAGTGTACTTCCATTATTGTCTATTGGTTGAACCAGGTCTATTTTAGCAGGTAAAGATTTCACATGTGCTGTATCAGCTTGAAGAGTTTTATTTAACCAGTAGCAATCCTGTGTAAACTGACTTAGCCAATCATCTTCATCACAATATACTTCACTTTGTCTTGTGCCATGTAGACTATAAATGGGAGAATGCTCAGTTTGGACATAGTTAATAGCTTTGGTTTGAGTTAATCTTGGTGTATCACATGTGTTTAAGATGTGAGAGGTTTTATTGAACTTTTCATTTCTTYGTTGTTCTTCCTTGTAAAAGTCATCACCATGAGGTTTGTCACAGTAGTCAATATTCAAAGATACCAAATCACTGCATGCATGAATCTCATGTAAACAACTAGCTTTGCACTCTCGCTTTTTCGAGGCTTGTTCTTTTAGTTTGTTTCCAATTATTTGGTTGTCATGGTTCTGTGGGACAACCTAAAAAATACGGTGAAACTATTTCCTTCTTTGTATCGTGTTACATTACACATTAGCGTGAGAAATACTATTTTTACCTTCCTAGCTATAAGAAACATTCTTATAAGCTTACTTGATCAAGTTTTTCATCGTGATTTAGAGAAAGCGAAGTCCCAAGCCTGCAACTAGCTATTTCCCATAATTTGTCCTCAACTTTCTTCGGTAATTCCTCTAGATCGCTGACCTATACGAAAATATATCAGTTAAAGTGTGAACCTGCAATCCAAATAAAGGTGAAAGAACATTATTTGCCAATCATTGTACCTCAGTTTTGTGCTTGCATCTTTCTTGAAAGTTCCTGTCTTTTGTCTTTGTCACGATTGAGTGTAAAGCACTAGCAATTTTTGGGATGGCTCCTTGGATCAGTAACCTTTCGTTCTGATAATGCAATATCTTTATGTCAAGCTTTACTTTTTTTATATCTTAACTTTTTTATATCACTTTTTATATCACTTTTTCTATTCAACTTTTCCTTTCACCCTTGAGCAGAATGCCGGGGCCAATACGATAGTGCACGCTTACTATACCTTCAATTTCGGATCAGTACGCGGTTTTTCTGAATCAATATGGTCTACCATTATCTCGTCGATTGAAAAGCACTTTAAGATACACGTTCTTTAACATCAAGCATTGTATAAATACCTCCTTCTCCCTTCAGGCGATTGCGACTTACGAGATTCGTCTTTATCTTTTGGCGCGAAAACTAGACTCTCTTGCGCGCGAGCGTTCATTACTTGATGTTCGCGGGAGGTCTGGGCCTATCCTGTGCAAAACGTCCCGTCGTCCGAAAAAGACTGACAACTCTATACTTTTTTGCATGTTTCTTTATTTACTGATTTCATATATTTTTACAGTTGTCATAAAATGCGATATTTACCATAAGCTTGTTCTTACATTTGTCTCTAATTCATTCTGAAATTGAGTCCCTCTCTCATTTTTTTCCCAACATAAGCATTAAGCTTAAGCTTTTAAAAATAAAAATAATCAAATAGATAACAAAAATATTAAACAAATGCGTAAGATACGAATATTTATCGATCTCCATCTTGGATCATCTTGCTCTCAGAGGTTTCATTTGTACTGTCATTTAAGCTTATACTGCTCGCCTGTTGTCTTGATTTCTGCATAYTTTCCAGAAATTCCCTCATTCGTGAAACTAAGGAATCATTCCAGTTTTCTAATTCATCCAAGCAGCTATTCAAGCTGTCTAATTCGTCATTGATGGCAGAGTATTCTGTAAGAAATACGAAGGACATAAGTTAAGCTAGCTGCTAGACTTTGCACATCGGAGCACAAAAAAATGCYCTTCTTACAATTACTTTGAATTAAGAATCTTACCATTCTCATCGCAGTTTTCGATCTCATCCTCATTCTTCGGATCACCATTTAGATCTCCATTCGAGATAGTGTTGTCATTTCCCTTCTCGTCGGCCATATTGTTGCAACCTTCTCATTTCTAAGGGGGTAGGGGAAGTACAATTTTTTCCTATTACGATATTTAAAAAGTAAGCGATTTAATTTTAAATAACATAGGAAGTAGTCAGTTGCATATGAATATTTCTTAGAGATTAAAGACATTCAATTTGTCATGTCATGTATATTGTGCACCAGCACCAGAATCRTTTATTGAATATCATAACTTCGATCACCTCTCCCCTGCGTTGTTTTTTGAAGACTCCCATCATGCTTTTCATTGAATCGAAGAGGGTACAGAGTAAACTAGTAAGTTAAGCTTACTTGGTTGGCCGGTGTTTCGCATTTTCACCAATTTAGTGCACAGCAAAATGGCAAAATGGGGTGAAGGAGATCCCAGATGGATAGTAGAAGAAAGAGCTGACGCTGTTAATGTTAATAATTGGCACTGGTAGGTTATATTTTYGCGTGTTTGCATGACACGTGACTGTCGTTGCTGCCAGTCTAAAATATAAACTTTGCTTGATACTTGGTCGAATTTGAATGCAGGACAGAGAAGAATGCTACCCCATGGTCTAAAGAAAGATTTGAAGAGCTATTTAAAGGTTTGAATGTAGCAACGGACGAAGGTACTTCTTATAACTTWAGCTTAAATACTTCTTTAAGTCTAACAGTTTTGCCTTAGCTGTCTGCTGTATGATCTGTGGAAGTTTAATTGGGTTACTTAAGCTTACTTATTTTTTCTTGTTATAGCAACTCTGAAAATAACCAGTATAGCAAAAACAGAAGGAGAAGCTCATGTCAAGTACGTTTTTCTTGTATGATATTGTTTAATTGAATAGTCAACACTGACAGTTCTCTTAAAAATGCATCTTCAACTGGATGTTTTTTRACAAATTGGATCTACATGTAGTTTCATTAAAGTTCAACACTTGAATCCTCTCAAGAAAATATTTTATGTTTGCTTGAATAATAAGAGTAGTGACAATGGAAAACTATCTTCAGTACTCCAGTTTGCCATTCCCAGCACCATCTTGAAAGGCAACCCAGCCTTTACATCAATACGAGACAGCAGTTGAGCMTTTCTTTCTTTGCAATATAATTTTTCTTTAGTAATAGAAAAGCAAAGCTTATTTTCTTCTACGAATGGATACTAGAATTGGAATGGTCTGGTAAGTCTTAATCTAAGTTTTTTTTCTAAAATATGGGTTTTATAATTGGTTTCTGTACTCCCATGGTAGATTTATATTAAGGGTAAGTTTGTCTTGTACATAGGTTCTCTTGGAGAAAGTGAAAATGTGCTTAAAGGCAAAATAGAAATACCGAACCTGAGTGAAGAAAATGAAGTTCATGAAATTGATGTAAGTTTTCTGTGTTTGAAAGTTTTAAAACTTTCTAATACTGCATGATCATATAAATGGGATAATGGACTTGTTGCTAACAATTTGAGTTGTTAAGGTGCTTGTAAAAGCAAATAAAAGTAACAAAGAAAGTATGCAACTGCTTGATGCTATAAAGAAAGAAACAGTAAAARGAATCAGAGAAAAACTGGCATTATATATTCACAAGTTGCAAAATGGTAAGCRTGTTTTTATTCAGTCAGACTTCCTGTCATCCAACAATGCATGTCATAACTATGTAACGTTTTGTATGTGTTCTGCAGAGTTCATCCAAGGAATGATTTTACCAACAAAAAATGATAAAGAATCAGCAAAATCTGGGGGGGAGGATAAAACAACAAAAGAGGTACATGTGGCATGTAAACCCTTTTAGAAAGTGATCAACAAATATTGGTTGTTTTCACAAATGCTGTCTYATGGTATCCTTATTGCAGTCTCAACTTTTTAAACTTTTTAAACACTGTACTGTCAAATTAATTTTTTCAGGTTTTCAAAGCAATAACTGCACCAGCTAAACAAAAGAAAGGTAGGAGCTGCAATAAACAATGTAGCCTAGGGGTTCATATCTAGAATTTGACATACATTGTACACTGTATGTGGTTTGAGTCCCACCAGTGAGTCTTAAGACACCCTTGTTGTTTGGATTGATAATTCATTTATAATTCATAATGTTGTTATAAACTACACATAGATTCCAAACAACTTGGTGTTCCAATAGCAACCAAAAAATTGGTCATGAAAGAGGAGTTCCTGATGTCTGCAGAAGATTTGTACCAAACTCTAACTGATGATAAGGTGTGTGTTTWAGTAAACCAGAATGTTATTGATCACATTGTTAARTCACCTYCCAYCACCATCTCACCCCTGTAACTTCAAAAAAAGCTACAAAATATGAATTTGCTTACAGAGGTTATCAGCATTTACACAAAATCCTGCCAAAGTTGATGCYACAAGTGGGGGAAGTTTTGTTCTTCTAGATGGCAGTGTATCTGGAAAATTTGTGGAATTGGTAAGTGTTGCAAAAAGTGTTATGTCAGTGGTAACAGTGATTATTATTTTGCTATCAAACATTATAATAATTATGACAAATAGAAACCAGATGCCTTGGCCTGAATATAGATTAGAAACTCAACCTACTCAGTTCATTGTCTTCCTCAAACTAAAAATTTAGCATTCATGTTCCTCTCAATAACTTATTTGTGTCCAGGTCAGAGATGAGAAAATTGTCATGGAGTGGAGRCAAAGAAGTTGGCCAGAAGGTAAGAACCTTCACAAAGTTGCTGTATCGATGCAGGGATCGATGGAAGCTTGGTTAAAATGTCATTTACTCAAAAACATCAAACTGAAAAGAAATGTTTGTGCTTCTCAGGTCACCATTCTATAGCAACAATCATATTAGAASAACAGGATGACAGGACGATTCTAAAACTAAGTCAAACAGGCATCCCTGAATCCAAATATGATGAAACAAAACAGGGATGGAAAACATACTACTGGGAAGCYATCAAGCGTACTTTCTCATGCGGTTTCCGCTATTTCTGACACATCTTACACGTCATACTCAGGGTTTACATTCATGTACATGGGTTCTGACGTGTTGAATTTATGTTGTAATAAAATACCTTTGTTTTCAAAATTAATGTGACGACCCCTGTCATGTTTTAGCGATGAGTGATCATGATATTACAGTATGTAATATCAAATCACACAACAAGAAAATAAGTTTTTAATTATTTATTAACATATTAATTCTTTTTATGCAGTAAAATAACACACATGGAAAGCTTWGTCAGCTGAAGAGGCTAATATATAAATGAAGCTTGTTATGAAGCCTTCCAAATTGTATTCAGCTGTAGTTGCCAGGCTATGCTATGAAATACAGTAATCAAAAATAAATATATCATTTCAGTGATGATTGGTTTTGTAATGTTTTGTATTACCAACAACATTATGTCGGTATTATCAACTTTCAAATGAATCTGAAAAGCCAGGAGGTTTTGGAATGCCTTTTTGAGTAACTGCAAAAAACTTGAACTTTTCTCCCATCTCATCCATCAACATTTTGTAGCCACTTTGTAGTTGTCCGGCTTGAGAACCTGTTGCATTTGATAGCAGCACCTAATGATCCAAAGGGAAATTGTCACAAAATAAAATCCATATACAGTATTGTAACTCATCTTAAGACAACCCATTTTAATATGCAAATGACAAGATGTGATCTTTTCATGAAGTCGCGTGAAGGCTGTTGTATGCACCTTTTGTTGCTCACACCATTAAATTTATAATTCATTCTAATTTGTTTTTCTATTTTACCTTCATTCTTTCGTCAATTCCCATCTCTCTCAAAAATGATCGTTGGCTTACAGGCCCATGTGCCTGAGCCATTCCTTTTAATGACTTCTCAAGAAATTGAAAATCAACATTTGCTGTCATGTCTGCTGTTCCTGGATCAGTAAGGATATCATGCAACTGATGGTTTTTAAATGACTAAAAGAAATGACATGTTATTTTTGTGTATAAGTTCAGTGGAACATAGTGGCACACATGTTGTACTTGTTCATTGCACTATGWAGAATAATATTTCAAACTTGTAAAATTATGTAACTTCAGATAATGAGGCTTACCCTTAGTGTAAATCTGCTACTGCCAACCTGTCCATAATCAACTATTAGTGCAGTACCACCATAAGTACTGATGATTCCTGCCATGTGCTCTATTATTGCTCCACCTTGTGGACAAACTTCAATTTCATGAGATGGGGTTTGCAAATTATTAACAAGTGCTTCGGAARCTACTGAAGGTCCAGGTGCTAGAGCAAATCTCAAAGCAGAGTGTCTGAAGCAAAAACATTGTTCATATTAATAATAAAAAATAAACCCTTTAATCAAATTGATATTTACTTTTGTTTGTCAATATCCACATACACCTCTCTCCATCCATGATCTGTTTTCTGTAAAAATAAATAACATTTCAGGGGTATGAGAACCATGGTTACAGTCCTTTAAATGACTTTGCCCAAAAAGTTTAACACATCTYCAGATAGTTCATGCAATTCTGCTGTCAATATTCTTTACAGTCTTAAAATTGAAGAAACTCCAAAATCACCATTCGTGAAGCACCTGCACATGCCCCTGCAGTTTGTGGTTTATATTATTTTTTGTTTCATTTTGTTGTATTGTGTTATCAGCTTATCAAGATTTCAACTTTCAATCCTTTAAAGTACATAAATCATAAAGCCTCAAACTAAGAATTTATTATTGACAGTAAGTAACAGATTTGATTGACTGATTGAGCAGTGAAAATCATCATAACATTTTGCATTATACCTTAAATTGATGTACTGGAAGGGCATCAAAAAATTCATGTGCCAGATAAAAAGTATTTCCTGGAAGGTATGACATTTATAGTGCAGTTAATGTTTGTTCAGGTATCCATATAAATTTGCGAACCTATCATTGGTTCATGGTTTGATTCTGACTATTTTAGAGGTTGATTTTCAGCGTTGGTCTCAATTTTGTGGCTGCATGTTAATGGTTATAATCAGTTATCAAAAAATGCACTTTCATGGGCAGATTTGTGGTATGACGAAACCCCTATAAAAGGCCCCCATGATAATTATCAAATTGATTACCAGCAGGTACATCTTGTACACCATGATACCATGAGACTGGGATCCCTGTAGCAGTTTTTCCTTGTTTATAGCTTAGTGAGGATTGCTGGCAAAGAAATTGTCAAATTCTATTACTTTCATTGCAAATTTGCAATAGGAATAACTATAATATATAAATAGTACTGCATCACGTTCTCACCATTTTGCTTTGGTCTTGAGCCACACAATCCTGGCCAGTCAACAGATTGGCTTGGATGGCACTGAGAGCTGGACTCAGTTCAACAAGATGAAGAGATATATTGTCTTCTAAAACCATGAACTTCCTTAATACCTACAGAGTCAAAGAGTGTGATATAAGTTGAAGTGAACCAGCAGGGCAGTATGGAGAGGTAAATAATATTACTTGTACACTATATTACCCTAAGAATATCTGCCATAAGTGTCCCTCTTCCTGGTCCCAATTCAACGAGCTGAATTTTTTCTTTTCCAGTTAAAAGCCAGTGATAAACAAACCAAACACCCACTAACTAAGAGCATACAAAGTAACATAATTTAAAAATAGGAGCAATAGACATTGATTTTACAAGTTGGTATAAATTCTTATTTGTGTGGAATACTTTTATAATGAATGATGAATCTAATAATAATAATGCACAAACTCACCTCCCCAAAAACCTGGCTGATCTCTGGTGAAGTAATAAAGTCACCAGATTGCCCAAATACATCACTTTTCATATAATATCCCTGGAATGAAACATAGCATGCAAGCAATATGTGAATTAGATAGCTACCAAAATACTTCTAAATTATAATTATATAATTATATTGGGTAATCCACACTCAGGCCTTCAGGCTGGAGGGGTTCKGGGGATTCGGATGAACTCCCCCACAAGCTCGATAAAGTTTTTTTTTTTTAAAAAACCAGTGGAATACACCTATTGTGAGCACACTTCTTTAGGGTTAATCAAAAAAAACATCCTCACCATACATGATTATCAGATGTATTTCAGATATTATCATATTTGTATTTAATTCTTACACTAGATGGACTAGTTAGAACTTCCTGCATGAAAGCAGCTACTGACAGAGGACCAGACACCTGTAGGAGACATACACAACACTACTGTAAGTCTATGTGGTGAGAATCACAAAAGACAAGTTGTCAAGGGTACTTTGCAATATCCATCAACAGTACCTTAATTTTAGAGATAATGTCTGCCATTAAACTTCTCTCCTTCAGCTTTGAAGAATTTAAAGTTGATGAACCAGAGAATCTTCTCAGGTGGGTAAGAAAACGTGACTGTTTAATGATTCTAGCTGAACAAAAACAAACCTAAGCTAACTTTTAAGTATATCATTCATGGTAAAGAGTTTCTTTATTACAGGATGGCAAAATGGAGTGAAATCGMAATCGCCCATAAATTAAGGTACAAGCCTTAAAATGGATCGTTAGAAATTAAAAACTGAAATAATATTAGCTTTTAACATTGCTTTAAGARTGTAATCCAAAACAATACAATATTTCTTGGATAAATCAAACAGCACAAAAAAATTCATACTTTTGATAATTCTTCTATTAAACATACGGGAGCCTGATCTTGCAAAAACTGCGCCAAATTCTATCACAAATTTCATCAATGATCCGTCCGCCATGTTGAATGTGTTGAAATCTAAAACACACAGGGATACCATACTATTTGTTAATTGAGCTTGGATTCAGGTACCGCGGAGCGGTCAAATATGTGGGGGGGGGGATTTTTTGTATTTTTATTTTAATCTTATCGATTTTATTGATTATTAATTTTTCGGAAGCAAAAAGTGGGGGGGGGGGGGGGACGCGGCCCCCCAGCTCCCCCGTCTCCGCGGCCCCTGTGGATCAGTTTTTTTTTTATTGTAACTAAAGGTTCATGCCAAGATCAGCTCTATCAATTCTTTGCCCTGTAACTTCGTGAAAAATCAAGAAAATATAGGATTGTTTCCCGATTTTCTTATTCTCTATTATCCTTTTTTATGCCTTAGCTGAGTTTTCAGCACCCACCACTAAGGAGAACAGTCACATGTTTTTGTATTTGTTTTGTACCTTTATTACAGTACTTGTCAGATTCACTGTGAAAATAATTATGCACACGATCGATTCTCGACGTTTATAAATAATGATATTTTTGTACTTCTGTATTTGTACTATTATTTTCTTAATTCATCTCGTATTGAATTTGTGTTTACAGTATTAGGGATCCATTATAGCATATCCGTGTATCAAGAAAAGTATGCATTACAAATCATATGGCCTTGCATGCTTTCCTTATTCGACTGGGCGAGGAGATTATTTTTTTACGAATTTTATCTCACTGCGGTAAAAATCTACGTGGRACCACTCGCGTCTTCTTTTATGAGCCAAGAATAGTGGACCTCTCTTGAGAAAATAGAAACCTCGCGTATAGTTAGTATACCAGTCCACAAGTCAGTTCTCCTGTAGTGTCAAACAATAATGATGATATATTTGCATTATTATTCTCAACTTTTTRATAATCTTGAGCTTTTCATTTGTTAAAAGCGACGTCAAAAATATATTAAGTTTTTGTCAGATATTGAATTTTAAGATGTGGAATCRAAATGCCTATACACCAGGTATCGAACCTGGTAGTCAACGTTTTTGGGATGATTATGACTCCYTATTCTCCCTATTTTCTAAGGTAGTCACTCCGTGATCTAGTACATCAGTGAAKCATCCTCAACGATCTATGACATTATCCGGCTTATCAGTCCGCTCAAGCATTTCTTTGTTTGTTTTTTCGGGTTCCTCGTCCCATGCTAGCACTGGACCAAGCTCTTTTGTCACCGTAGGAGACTGGTCATCTAACAGTTGTAGCTGCTCATTATCTTCACGGCGAACGCCAGTTTGGTTGTTGGAATGCGATGGTACTTCTTGCCCAATGTTTTCTATTTCTTCTTCTTCATTGGCATTTGCAGCTACACTTACATTATTTCCCAAGGATTCCGCAGCCCATGCTACCACTGAACCTCGTCTTTTTGCTACCGTGAGGGACTGGTCTCCTAACGRTTGTACCTGTCCATCGTCTTCACAGCAAATGCCAGCTTGGTTTTCGAGATGCGACGGTACTTCTTGTCCAGTGATCTCTAGTTCATTTTCATTGACCTCTGCAATCATACTTACATTACTTCCTTCATCTTCCTTAGAATACCCATCATTAACTTTCCCTTTTTCTTCAAGCACATGCGCTTGTAAAGCGTTTAAGAGTTTTCTTTCTCGGTATAGCCTTATTGCACGAATGATGACCCTTGCTGCTGCCAGCTGTCGGTTCATTTCCATTGTTGTATGTGTTGTCACGTGCTTATCACGCGAGGGAAACGCAGCTCGAAATCGTTCTTCCATTTTTTGCATAATTAGCTGGAAACCCTCTGAATTGACGTCCTCATATCTTGATACAATCCTCTTGACCAAAGCCTGCATGAGATCAAGACAATGAATAATCGATCCGTTAACCAGCGGTATGTCCATTAAAGCACACGCTGCTTTGTTGGGTTTAGGGATCCGTAGACTTCCTTCAAGATGATGAACAAAGTCTGACAAGTCTTTATACTCAATGAATTGAGTAGCATTAGGGTCATATATCTCCCATTGTTGGTAAAATAAGTCAATATCTTCATTGGTGATCCCTATCTTTTCTTGTTCCATAACTTGATTATAGTTCTCTAAGATTATTGCAATGTACATGTTGATCAGAATCAAAAATATCGCAACAATAAAACTGACAAGAAACAGTATTGACACCAATTTGTATCCACAGTTACCGTTGGGCAGATTTTTATAATTCGGATCACAGTCAGGAGGCTGTAACATTAGCGGGTTCAGAATATCGTTCCAACCTGCTGACGTCATTATACGAAATAAAAGAAGGAAACTACTGCCAAAGTTTTCAAAGTTAACAACATCATTTAAAGGATCTGTCTTTTTAATATTTCCAAATATAGACATCCCAATGACAGAGTAGATGAAGATAATAAGAAACAATAACGTCCCAATGTTGACCAACGCTGGTAGCGATACTATCAACGAGAAAAGAAGACGACGAATTCCCTTTGCTGCCTCAAAGAACCGTAAAAGACGTCCAACTCTGAAGACTCGCACGACACGAAGTAAGCTTGGGCTGATGGGAAGAGCATGTTTCAGATTTTCTAAGATAATACCAATGATTGAGCAGATAACAATGGTGAAGTCAAAACAGTTCCAAGGACTGAAGAAGTAGCCAACTCTCAAAGCAATAATTCTCAATATTGCCTCTAGGATGAATATAGCAGTGAAAACCAAATTAAGGATTTGTATTCACCCCGTCAGGACAAGGCGCTCGTCAAGGAAAGTACAAAAGGGACATGTAAGATAATTTAATTAAAATCCCATCAATCAATCATCCAATCAACACGTCATTCAGTTAACCATTCATTCAATCCGTCAATCAACCAATCGCTACACACTCCTTCCGCCGTTATTTTCAGTTCATTCGTACATCATTTCGTTACAATTTAATTGACAACTATGAAAAAGGATATCAAGTGTAGTTTCTATTTGCGGCGTCTGGTCGTAGTGTTGAATCATCATCACCGCCATATTGATCGTTATAACTGTCATAATAAACACTTCAAATTTTCGTGACTGAACCATATCATAGAGAGCACCTTGAACTTGGTTCTGACAACAACAACAACAGCAGCAGTATTAAAACTCTCAGAAATGTTCGACTGTAACAATAAAGTACATAACTGTTCTTATTATTATAATATTATGAACTGTTCTTAGTTACTATTTCTYTTCTTTAAATGTGACTTCCGTACCGTTGGCCTTTGGATTCGYTTTTTTGGTTTCTTTGATGCTGCGCTTTTAAGTGCGTTCATCCAGTTGCGCTGACTGCTGGTAAGGAAAACGTCCATTGATCCCACAGTCTCCATCTACAATACATACATCATCAGTATCATAATCCGCCAGATACTTCACATTAATTCATCCATGATTTACCTGCTGTTTAAGTTGGTTAAAGTTATCAATGATGACACCAATGATTAAGTTTAGAATAAAGAAAGTTCCAAGGACTATAAACACGACAAAGTACCAGTAAGCAACAAAGTTAGCTTCTCGACTGGGCTGTTGGTCAACCTACRCAAGCACAATAACACAGAGTTATAAGAAACGATCCTTTTCAGTTTTCGTAYTTTCAATGCTTACCCCTGTAGCGTCTATCGCATCCTCCATTATCTCCATCCATCCTTCAAATGTCGCCTAAAAAGAGTTATGAAATAAGGAAAACTATGAACGTTTCCAGTTATTTGACAAAGTTATTCAAAGYATRTAGGATAAGATTYTAAAMAGAGAAAATGACGTCAAATGTGTCTGCGTACCACTTGCAGCAGCGCCAAAAACCCATTTAAAGCGTCGTCAAAGTGTATGTTTGACCGGACCCATCGATAGCCTTTAGCAATACAAGTAGTTTTATTGGGAACAACGCTCGGTAGAAACTTGTTGCCATTTGCATCAAKGCATTTGTAGAATTTCCCACCAAAACTTTGTACGCCCATGATACTGAAGATAAGCCAGAACATCAAACTAACCAACAACACGTTAGCTATTCCAGGAAATGCGTTGAACAATGAGGTGATTACAACCTGTTGATAAACACAAATGATTTTTATTTMGACAGGACCTTGAAAAAAGAAATTTCAATTATAAGCACAATCATATAGGGGCTTGGATACGTACCCTCATTCCTTCAAACCTTGAGACAGCTCGCAAGGGACGAAGGGCTCGAAGAGTCCTCAGTGAGCGCATAAACGATATGTCTTCACTTCCAGTGATTGTAATCAGAGAAATCTATAAAACAAACATGGCAATCGTTTGTAACACAACGACTTAATGTACTCGATAACATTGTCGATCAAAAAGTTTTAAACCGACGACGATTTGGCTTTAATACAGATATTCCTGCCATCTTYTCCACACTTACAAAAAAGCGCTAAAAGCATTAGTAGTTGGTACCATTCATCAGYACTTACGATTACTATTATGAAGTCCAACCAGTTCCAAGGGTTAGAGAAATAAGATATTATTCCTAAACCTATGAATTTCAGCAACATTTCAAGTGTAAAAACAACAGCAAAGAAAACATTGAGCTTGAAGAGGATTGCTTTTATTTCTGGCTTGTCTTCGATGCTCACATCCTCAAACGCCTGAAAAGCGAAAAGAAAAGTATTTGGCAAGAGGTCATGGTAAATATTCAAGTATTCYAAATATTCAGTTTTTCCTGGTATTTTATCATTTTATCATGTCATGATGAGGTTGAAATGTACACAATATCAAGGGCCACATCGTACTTCAGGATTTTCCTGTAATYCATTACCGAGTGACATAATGAAAGCTATCCCATACCCTTTCCTTAGGATACAMATTTCCAGCATTGAAACCCAGTCTATTTAGAGTTATTTCCAAGAAAGAAGGGCCCCTCCTTTCAGTACCTAAGAGATACCCCTCTGAGGCCTTTTCGTTAACAAAATGATCAAATATGTCAATATTTTCCGCGGTTAGTTYACAGCAAAACCCAATATAATCACTTACCAAAGCTATACTACTTGCGGCAATCAAGAGAASCACAAACCACTCAAAGTACTTGTGTCCTACAAAAACCTTGACTTTGTACCTGATGAGCTGCCAGTRTGCACATGCGCAATTGTTGTTTTTACAACACGCACAGCACAAACAGAAGGGTGGTAGRCACGGGTCTACTTTGTAACGAGAAGTATCAAGGGAACAGATACCATATGATGTTGAATTGTCGTTTTCTTGYCCAACTGCTTTTTCTACAATTCAAGTATGTTAGGTTARCAAACMCGTGTCTGAAATCCGTCAAGATATTCTCATTAAATTYAATAAGTACCTTTTTCRTTGCCATTTGATTCGTCTAATTCCGGAACAGCTCCGTTATTTTCTGGCGTAGAGTTCGTTTGTATTTCGTCGGTACCCTCAACAABGATGTCGGGAACTACTTGTGTTCTTTTGCCAATTCTCGTTATAAATCTTGAGACGAGTAAGGTCCTTCTCATACGACTAAAGACACTGGTCTTTCTCTTGACTTTCTTCTGAGCTGATTCACTTGCAAAAGAGCTCAGAAGTAATGCCAAGAAAAGGTTAAGGATCTGTAAAATGATAATACATAAAAGTCGGTCAAAGCTAAAAACGGGCTGGAGAAAATGCAGGCACTATTAGTCTCTCCTTTTTAAGCCATTTTTTTCGCACTACCGAGTTGAATGCACTGTMTCAGTGGTTTACTTACTATAAAGTTTCCAATGAGAAATGCTGGTATGTACAGTAAGATGGCAACTGGTCCTGTTGCCCTCATACAGTCCCACAACGGCTCGATCCATTCACCGCAGAGTACACGRAAAATCATCAGACATGAATGATAAAAGTCGACAAAATTCCACCTTGGAATTTCCCCGTCAAATTTATCCTCAGTATAAGATGAACCAAATAGTTGCATACCAACAACAGCAAAAATATATATAATAATGCCAAGGATGACTGTAAGGTTTCCTAATGCACCTAAGCTCTTCCCAATAGTAGTAAGTAGACTAGACATTGTACTCCAGGACTTAGCTAGTTTAAGTATTCGAAGCTGAAAAAGGAATGAATTTATTCAGTAATTATCAAGCGTCTCTTCTTCTTTTACATGATCAAGTAC